TGCCATCTGTTGGCATGAGGAACAGTATTAGACTTAGCGTGTTATTTGATTTTGAGCAGGTGGATTCATGCTGCTCATGGACCCACTGCACACACTTTGCAAGGAAATGCAGAGTGGAGGGAAAAATAGATGTTACTGACAAACCAGAGAGCTGGTACGTAGTTCCTGTAGGAAGCGTACACAAGGTTTCAGAATCTCACTGCACAGGCTCTCTACTGTATTGCCCTACACCACAACAGAAATATAGCATTGCTGATCATTTTTGACTTTCCGGTATCAATAGGGTACAGGATTTGGCTCAATTTAAATTCCTAAAGCTGCCTTTATGCAGAAGTTTAAGGATTGGGTAAATATTTGGCCACCCAGTAATCCTCCACGGGGCAGGAAAGCTCTGGTTCTTAGCAGCTAGTCCTGGGAATAATACTGTGCCTATACATTTTTACCTACCACAGAACCTCCCCTACTGGTCTATTCCCCATTCAGAGGACTATTATGCAGTCTCAAAAGAAACTTCCCACATTTTTTTTAAATTTAGCCCTTACCAGTACTACTACTTTATATTGCTATTTACCAAGTACCCCCTTTCAAAAGGTAACAAACTATCAAACCAGCATTTAAAAAAGCAACTGAATTCATTATTCTAGCAAAACTACACATGTATACATTCACGACTTGTCAAGTAATTCTATATTAAAAAGAACTGGAAACTGAGCCTAAAGATGAAATTCAGAGGGCCCACACAAGACTGTCCAACATTAACTAACCCCTCATTCCGCATCCACTTTAGTCCTTAATGAAACATTGTAATGTTTGAAGGGCAGTCCATGGATCCACTGCCATTATGTGAATTTCACCATCAATACATGTTATGTGTTTGCATAGTGCCTAGAACAGTGCAGCTCTGACCCAAGAGAGGGGCCCCTAAACACTACTGCAGTACAAAAAAACAATGACTACTTCGTCAAAATATAAACAAGGTCTTCTGTGAAACAAAATATAGTTCCTAACAGGGTGTTCACTAGCAACATTTAACTCAAATTGACTAAATATGTTCCTTAAGATCTATGTGCACCGAACATTTTACTGAGACTTGATCACAACAACTTTTCATTCCTATTTTTATCCATATCTTTCCAGAAAATGTCTAAAAATAAATCCTAGTTTGTTTTGCTAATTTATACCAAACTGACCCACTAAGTTCATGAACAAAATTTGCTTAATTGCAGCTTACGTTTGATTTGGACTTGACACCACAGTACTGTATGTGCATGTGAACACCTGATAACCTGTGGAACAAAAATCACATCTCCTAGTTTGTAAAGTATTGGCTACTTTTTCTCACATTACTAAAGACTGAAACATCACTTGCTTAAAAGGAAAATTAAAACCCACGCTATTAGTCTTGAACATCCTACAAAAAAAAATCTGGAAGCAAAGTGTGAGAGGCCCTACATTGTGCTAGCCTTCTTCCACATACAAGTGAAAAAGCCTTTTCAATTCCCCCCAAAAAACATGCACTTCAAGCTGTGAGCTAGGCCAGGCCATTGTATTTGAGGTTCTGCTACAGAATAAATATTTATATCTTGCTGTTTTTAAAATACTGAACTCCTGATATTTTCAATATGAGAATGTACTCATACAGGGATACCAAATAGTTTTATATTTTTGTATGACAGGAGGACATGCAGGATGCAAAGTGGAACATTTGTATCGGTGACTTAAGTGATGGGGAGCAGGTTAGTTTTGTGCTGGGCAAAATATATCTATATATGTTGACAATACCAAGAAAAGCAATTAATATTGTTTTATTTAAGCTAGAATTGGACCATTTAAAGTCCTGATTCAGGAATGCACTTAAGTGTGAAACTTCTTCACCCCATCCAGGTCAGCACTTAACTGTTTTAAGCAAGTATGTTAAGCATATGCTCAAGTGCTGTCCTGGACAAGGATGCTTTCCAGAAGCCAGATTTACCATACTAGTATCCAGAAGCCACTATCCCACAAGATCAATCTTTAAAGGAGTTTGTAGGTCTACATTTAAAAGGATATGCCCTGGAACACAACAACATTTTAAACAATTTTTTACTGGAGATGCATCCCAAAATACATATTTTTAGGGCTGAGCACTAACATCTGCACGTGGATATATGTACATGGCTGCCATTTACTTCACTGGGAATGGCATGTGTCTAACTGCCAAATACAGACCTAGAGGCGTATGCTGTCATTCATGCATAGGTTATTCAATCATGTAACTCCCAGTGCGTTAATTCCCAGGAAAATAGTCCACAAGTGGAGGGAAGGACAGACTTAACATTACTTGTATGTGTAGGCTTACAAAGGTACAAATTCTACAGTCCTTAATTGAACATTTGCTCAAAGAAGGAGTGCAGAATTTGGCTCAAGTTCCTGAACGGAATTAACAATACTATAATTAAAATAAGTTCTCTAAATTACATATTTCTCTATTATGTACATGCTATGTTAATGTAGACAGCTTCTTACATGTATACAGCTTCTTAAATGTATACTTTTTATGACTTCTTTTCTTCTATAATTTTGCATCTAATAGAACCTGTGCTATATAAGATGCAAAGTACATCAAAATAACACAATATGCAACAAAAGGTTGTGAACCGTAATTAATATTTCACAGACTAGGCCTTTATACATTATAAGCAATCTTGCAGTCTCTCTGCTTGCAGAAGACCCAATTATTTCAATGGCGAGTCTTCATGCAAAGGGGTGTAAATCCGACCAGTAGCTGTATACTCCAAAATACATACCTCAACTATTGTTTTGCTTTTAACCCATGCACTGAATGTCATAAGTAACAAAGAATCACATTCTTCCATCTTTAAATGTGTGGAACTCTCAATGTCAGAAATGGTTTTGTGAGAAAATTTGATGAACAAATACAGGTCATCATTAAGACTATCTTACAAAGAAGACATTAATTTGGGGCCAAATTCTGCCCTCACACTTATCCAAAGCTATTGACATTAATAGGCAGCACAAGAAACAATGAGGGCAGAATTTATGTTTTTAAACTCTAATATACTAATTATAAAAAGGCAAGTGGGATTCTTTTTTGCTCATGTCTAAAGCATGGACAAAATCAAGCATTTTTAACTACCCTTTTCTTCCTTTTTAATTTCATTTAGTTTTGAGCAGCTATCATACCACCGTAATTCTAGTGGGTGTCATATACCACTCCTGAGGAAACTGTGAATGAGAGATTAGGAAAATAATCTTTTTTTACACAGATTTGCTATCACCTCCCTTGTACTATTTGAGCATGCAAAGCAATGATATTTAACCTAGATTTTTGGTTCTTATTATAGCTGATCTGAAGTGGTTTTTAAAAAATATAAAATCAATAAATACAAAAAACTATTTAAGAACTTTAGGGATTATTGCTTGCATCATGTTCCCAGCCGGAATAACCTGGCTGAACATTTGTGTACAATGGCAAAAGTGGGGATGTATTCTTCATCCAGGTTGCTTCCACTCTGCCTCTGTCAAATAGTAAACTGGAGTAGGAGTAGACTTTTTGCACTCCAGCCTGGCTATTACCTAGCCTTACCCTGTCCAACAGCACATAAACTGCTCCCATGGAACTGGACTCTACAATCCTGACAACCACAATGCTTAAAAAGAATCCTTTGCCTCCACAGAGATGGAGACAAGACTTGCCCCAATGGAATATAAATGTGTAGCATTAACATGACAAATTAATAGGTTTTAAAAGTAAACTGATTTTTTTAACCTACCAAGATTTGAGGACAGGGGACATTGGGGAGTGTTACTCCCACACTTGGTGGTGCTAAACATCTGGGGCCAGATCATCAGTTGGTGTAAATCAACCTATCTCCACAGAAGTCAGTGGAGCTTTGCCGACTTACACGAGTTCCAAATTTAGACCTAGCGTGCGAGTTTGATATGGACAAGATGTATGTAATTGACATTACAAGGAAAAGCATATAATAGTCCAAATTCATCAAAATATAACTCCATTTTGGTTAATGGAAGTTACACCTGGAATGAACTTGGCTCAATATATGTTGTATGTCAATCAATGGTAATATACTAGAGCTGGGCAGGAATCAGTTTTCCTGTCTCAGAAAAAATTCCGAGATTCTGTAAATTATGAACGAAAAGTCAAAATCTTGAAAATTTTCATGAACTGATAATCTGCAGAAAAAAAAAATCAGTTTAAGTTAATTAAAACTTTTGTTTCAATAATTTTGAAATGTTTTGTTTTCTATCTTTTTTAGACTATAAATTAACTTAAATTTCTAAATAGACCTTTTCATTTTGAAAGTGTCAAACATCCTCCTCAAAATGGAAAATTTCTCAATACTGCCCATTTCCCATGAAACGTTTCTGTTTCAATGAATCAGCATTTTTGACAGAAAGACATTTTGTCAAAAAACTCAGAACAAATTGTATAGTATACACTTCATATCTTGGTTAGACACAGAGCAGCCTTGTATCAGCTTTCAAGCATTGCTGTGCACAACTTCAGTGTTTACATTTTGAAAAATACATGCCTTTAGATTTCCTACCACTATATTTCATTCTCTGCAAAGCATGCCAAAATAATATTGATATAGGGAGATGGCTAGACCTTGTTCATGAGAAGTAAAGTATTTCTTTTTTCACTTTTGGAGTTGTTTTCCATAATCTTATGAAGGTTAATCCACGTATACTACTGTTCTCCAACTTTGCACCCTGGTGACATCTGTGGTTTTTTACATTTCACCTCTTTTTCAGTGCAAGTGTAACTATTTGAAGCAGTATTTTCACTTTGAGTCTTGTAGCAGGAACTCAAAACTTAGTGATGTAAGCAGAAAATAGAAATGCCATAGCCACTGAAGAGAAGACATGCGGCATTGCTTACTTAAAGCCCCATCCTGTCCCCCCAAGGACAATAGCTGCTACCAGGATGGCACCAGCGATGGAACCTATTATAAGATTGGTGGCACTAGGACCTGCGATAAAGGATTACGGGAAGAAAGACATAAGAACCAACCACTTCATTCATGACAAGGGAAACGTAATCAAGCAATTTAGGAAAACAAACAACCTACATGATGTCTCTAAACATTTTCAAAGGGCTCCACTTGCTTTTCATTAATAGCATGAATAAACAAAGCTATCGTAATGTCTCTCACTGTGCTATGCCTCCTTTCTAATACTAGATTTTTACCTATCTCAGAAATTAACAACACGGTCATTCACTTCATTCTCTGGCTTAACTATTCCAATAAACACATAGTATATGAACCATCAGTTCAGAAAATTCAGATATTTTTAAAATTAAATAAAGTCTTAAATTTTTTTAAAAATAGCATTCAAGGGGTAATAAAACATGAATGTTGTACTTAATGCCTACTTATTTCACTCCGAGGGCAAATGAAAAACCAAAAAGCCCATCCATTCTGCTTTTCATATAGGTCTGATCTTGTAAGGTGCTGAGTACCCGCAAATCCCACTTATTTCAATTTGATCTGATAGCACTTTTCAGGAGGCACACAGCACCTCATAGTCCCTATGGTTATGTCAACCTTAAGTTTACTAACTACGGAGAGTTCGGCAGAAAGGGTGGTGGAGTAAAAGGGTATGATTCAAATAAAAAATAATAAAGATTCTGTAATTGAAATAAAAGCTGCATTCCCACTGAAGCATTCCAAACATCAATGCATCTCTTCGTCATCCTCAAGCAGCCACTGAACAATGAAGTGGGGCAGGGAAAAAGGGAAGGAAAAAAGGTGGCATAAAATCCATTTGGTGTAATTTTCTCTAAAAAGGCAAGAAAGCACTTGAGGATCAATTATGAATTTCTTACATAAAGTGCTTTATTTGCCTGGGGGAGAGGGGGAAGAAAAGAAAATACAAAATAGATCTATGTTTGCTCAAATTAATTCCAGACCACAATATTCTCCGCTATCAGGCCCTCTCTGATGTAAATCTACTGTCTCTAAGTCCAAGGCAAAGTAAAATCTAATACAACAATTCTTTTGCATATCACACACCTTATAATTGAACATAAATATTTAAATGCCCATTATTAGCCTTTCAAAAATACTACTAATGAAAAAAATAATCCAAAGTGAGAGCTCCCCCACTGCAATGGCCATTTTGCTATTCTAAGTAGCACAGCTCTGGTTTTGGTATTACAAGGTGTTTGGAATACTGTCAGGGAGATACAAGGAGGAAAAGAGGAGCATCAAGAAAAGATGGGAGAAGAAAAACAGAGAGGGGTAGCTGGAATAGCTGAAGGAGCTCAGGGGCTAGTTCAGTGTCACAGATACCTTATAATACTGCCCAGTCCCCGACACAACAGTGAGAGAGTATCCTACATTTTAAAATTCATCACAGTGACCCGTTTTTGAACAATACATTACATAAGTTGTTTCCTTGGGTTTTATTTTAGATATCAGTTCAGACTGAATAAAAAGCAAGCTCACCAGCTTTTATTCGCAACAAACAGTGCAAAGAAAGAATCATTCTGTATACATCATATGTTTTACTAGCTCGTGCCAATGCACGATTTTGGGATTAAACAGGATACATACCATGCTGCAGATCATTCATGATTTAGCTTTCTGAATTAACATACCGAGCTTATAAAATTATTTTCTTGTCATCTTTAAAAACGGTGGCTCAGATTCTGCAGCTACTTATGTCGAGTAGTGCCTTAGTCTTATCATAGTCTCATTTACTTCAAATGGAACTACTTATGGGTACTCACCACAGATGAGGGGGGCAGACTATGGCCCCAAAAATTATATGAAAGCAGTCTAAAATTAATTAATATATCCCTTTTTAAAAATACTTCCTGTCTAGACACCACCAAGTATTCAGGGATATTAATAAGAATCTAACTTAACAGATATGAGCAGTGCACAAACGTAACAATAATAATCAAATGTACATTTTCTACTAATGGAAAATGCATCTTACTGAACTTACCTTTCATAGTCAGACTTAGCTACAAATCAATAACATTGAGCATGTTGGAGGATAAACAAATGCTGGTACATGGGCATTCTATTTCCAATTAAGAGATTTTTCCTCAAGTACTAGAGAACTTTATGATTTTTCATCTTTGCCTGACCTAAAGCAAAACTTCTATCTTTTTTTCTTTTTTTTTGGTAGATGGATTTGGATTTAATGCAAGCATAATGTTTTTAGAGGTTTTGCAAATGCAGCAAGTAACTGATTTACACAGCATTTCAGAAGCTTTGGGAAATCCACAGAAATTATTTTTCAGCCTGGCCTCAGGAAGTCATTTTTCCACAGAAACACTGCAGTAGTACATTTATCTGATAGTGACATATTTGTAATTTGGAAACTGAAGTCCAGATATGGCCATTTCAGGATATCTGAAATATGTCTACGTGTACAGAAAAAACAATTTTCCATGTGTTTATTATATGTTTGATAAAATGTTTCACATATACTTAGAAAAATTTAGTGCATGTTAACGATTCAACGGTAGGCTTGGACTTAAGGAAAGAAAGCAATGGAATTACTGTTACTGTGAATAAATTCATCACCAAGCGGATGCATTTAAATAAAATTAGACAATTAAATTAAAATTAGATTTAGAAAATATGGAAAACCCTTTAAAATTACTATAACTGTGGTGAATACCAGAAAGTCCTGATACAAATCACCTGTTTGGGGACTGACCCAATTGTAATTGTCATAACTAGGGAAGGGCATCTTTTCTTTTAGCACAGAAAATAATTTAAAACCAAGCACTTGTGCCAACAGCCTTAAAAATGGTAAAATAACATAGCAGTAGATAGTTGAGGCCCTTGTTAAAAAGATTCTGGCTAAAACTACTCTTTTTCCTGTGGAATCAAAGTAAATACAGCTAGTCAATAGATTTGGAGTGACAACTCTTATTCATACAGATTAATTCCTCTTTTTGCTAAATCTATCAGACATAGAAACTGAAAATGCCTATGGATTACACTCAGGGTGAAATCCTGCCCCATGGAACTCAATGGGAATTTTGCCATTGACTTCAGTGGTCCAGGATTTCACTTGAGTCTTCAATGGAGAGACATAGTGTGTGATTCCTTCTGCTTAAAGAATTATAATAATAATAATAATTATTATTCCATAGTGCCTAGGAGCCCCAGTCACAGACCAGGCCACCAGTATGCTAGGCGCTGTACAAACACAGAACAACAACAACAAAAGGTAAAGATTAATTTGTTTACCAGAGAATTCTCCAGGTAACTAGTACCGGTTTGGAAATTTATAAAAAGATCAGAGACATATATTGGAAAACAATTTTTAAAGAATATGTTACAATAGATTGAACATATTTTGTAAGATAATTTTAAATACCATGAAAATTGCACATTTTTATATTTTAATGTTTACCTTGTCTTTTTTTTTAAAAATACACATTACATTTTATCAAACAAATAAATACATAGAAAATTTATATTTTTATCAATATGCCATGATTTAGCTGCTAATCTAAAGACCACTAGACGTTGGTTCATTACTTTAATGAATGATAAAAAGTACCATTTATAGAGGAAACAACAGCCAATAGATTTCAGCCATATAATTTCTATAGTCACTGGATTAACATGGAATAAAATGCAAATTTAAAATAAGAGATTTTATTAACTATAGTATTTCGGAGGCATTTTCTATTCTGCCTGGTGGAGAGAAATAAAAATTGTGGTGGATGAATTCTGTCAGATCTATTATTACTGTTGATCTGCCAACTCCATGTATTTGCCACCATGCTGTCTACAGGTACTTTTTATGAGTGGAAAGAATCCCACTGACTTCAAACAGCTTTGGATCAAGCTGTATATCCCCATCACCAGGATGATCCTATTGAAGAGAGCAACTAAAATTAATGTCCCTGTATATCTATTACTGAAAATATTAATAATTACAGTTCTAGATTGGTCCAATCTAGCAACAAGAAGGTGATCAGGGAAAGTGTGGGATCCTTACTGAATGGGGGAGGCAACCTAGTGACAGAGGATGTGGAAAAAGCTGAACTACTTGATGCTTTTTTTGCCTCAGTCTTCACAGATAAGGTCAGCTCCCTGACTGCTGCACTGGTCAACCCTCAGTGGTGAAAGAACAGGTTAAGGACTATTTAAAAGATGGACAAGCAAAAGTCCATGGGGCTGGATCTAATGCATCCGAGGGTGCTGAGGGAGTTGGCTGATGTGATTGCAGAGCCATTGGCCGTTATCTTTGAAAACTCACGGTGAGCAGGGGCAGTCCCAGACAATTGGAAAAAGCATGTGTATATATATATATATATATATATATATATATATATATAGTGCCCATCTTTAAAAAAGGGAAGGAGGAGGATCCGGGGAACTACAAATGGATCAGCCTCACCTCAGTCCCTGGAAAAATCATGGAGCAGGTTCTCAAGGAATCCATTTTGAAGCCTTGGAGGAGAGGAAGGTGATCAGGAACAGTCAAAATGGATTCACCAAGAGCAAGTCATGCCCGACCAACCTGATTGCCTTCTATGATGAGATAACTGGCTCTGTTGATATGGGGAAGGCCGTGGACGTGATAATATCTTGACTTAAGCACAGCTTTTAATACGGTCTCCCACAGTATTCTTGCCAGCAAGTTAAAAAAGTATGGATTGGATGAATGTACTACAAGGTGGATAGAAAGCTGGCTAGATCATCAGGTAGTGATCAACGGCTCGATGTCTAGTTGGCAGCCAGTATCAAGCGGAGTGTCCCAGGGTCTGTTCAGGGGCCAGTTTTGTTCAACATCTTCATTAATTATTTGGATGATGGGATGCATTGCACCTTCAGCAAGTTCACAGATGACACTAAGCTAGGGGGAGAGGTAGATACCTGGAGGGTGGGGATAGGGTCCAGAGTGACCTGGACAAATTGGAGGACTGGGCTAAAAGAAATCTGATGAGGTTCAACAAGGACAAGTGCAGAGTCCTGCACTTAGGATGGAAGAATCCCATGCACTGCTACAGGCTGGGGACTGACGGGCTAAGCAGCAGTTTTGCAGAAAATGACCTGGGGATTACAGTGGATGAGAAGCTGGATATGAGTCAACAGTGTGCCCTTGTTGCCAAGAAAGCTAACTGCATATTGGGCTGCATTAGTAGGAGACTTGCCAGCAGATCGTGGGAAGTGATTATTCCCCTCTATTTGGCACTGGTGCGGCCACATCTGGAGTATTGCATCCAGTTTTTGGCCCTCCACTACAGAAAGGATGTGGACAAATTGGAGAGAGTCCAGTGGAGGGCAGCGAAAATGATTAGGGGACTGGGGCACATGACTTAAGAGGAGAGGCTGAGGGAACTGGGATTGTTTAGTCTGCAGAAGAGAAGAGTGAGGGGGGATTTGATAGCAGCCTTCCACTACCTGAAGGGGGGTTCCAAAGACGATAGAGCTCGGCTGTTCTCAGTGGTGGCAGATGATAGAACAAGGAGCAGTGGGGGAGATCTAGATTGGATATTAGGAAAAACTATTTCACCAGGAGGGTAGTGAAGCACTGGAATGCGTTACCTAGGGAGGTGGTGGAATCTCCATCCTTAGAGGTTTTTAAGGCCTGGCTTGACAAAGCCCTGGCTGGGATGATTTAGTTGGGGGTTGGTCCTGCTTTGAGCAGGGGGTTGGACTAGATGACCTCCTCAGGTCTCTTCCAACCCATATCTTCCATGATTCTATTATAGGCAGAGTTGGTAGAGCTGCCTTTAGTTAAGGTTGCCTGAAACTTTTCATTATAAGATCCTGTTTTCAGTTGCTTATAATTTTGCCAAACGTAAATGTTCATGCTAAAATTTTCAGTGTCAGACACCTCTCTCAAGCTGAATTTTTTTGGAAAGTTTCAGATAAAACAATTCTGTTCTTTCTGAGAATGAGATTACGGGAAAATACTATGTTGTGTTCAAGTTAAAAAAATTCCCACAATCATTTAATTGAAAAGCTCTAGCACCACCATACTTGGAGGGCGGCTTCATATTTGGCAGCGGAATTGCCCTGGTGTCAGAGATGTGCCTCTGAAAAATATCAGTTTGCACATGCTCTGAAGAGAACTGTTGAAAGTTTGGCAGCTAAATTCTGCATGTTCAAGCCCTGGTCTTCAGGGGCTCAGCAGGACTTTCCCTGCAATTGTTGCTGTGAGCAGCCAGAGGCCACTGTGGCACTAGGCACAGGAACTCAGAGCAGGAAAACCAACTCTCTTGTGCTTTCAATGCCCCTGTTCCTGGTGCCTACACAAGGAGGAGGAGGAAGCTAAGATGTCTGATGCAAAAGCAAAGGGTGCTGCATGAACCAGGCAGTGGGAAGGAATGGGGTTGTGGGGAGCCAAGAAAGGAGGGACGGATAGGAGGAGAGAGACTGGAAAGAGAGCTGATAGGGGCATAGGCTGAGGTGGGGGGACAGGAGCAGAGAAGGAGGAGCAGGAGCCTGGGTGAGTGGCCGTGGACTGGAGCTGGGGCTTGAGCAGAGAGATGGGAAGTAGGAACAGAGGTGTTGATTAGAAGCAGAGTGGAAGTGGGGCAGGAGCTGGGATGTAGGGGTTGATAGGAGCAAAGATGTCTGAGAGAACCTGCTCCATGATTTTTCCAGGGACTGAGGTGAGGCTGACATGTCTATAGTTCCCTGGATGATGGGATGCAAGGGTAGAATGGTTTGTAATTATAAAATCTCATGCTCATTCAGAATCTGGAACTGAACCCTGGATTCCTGCATCTCTACAGTCTTTTACTGTCATTAAATAGCAGTGAGACCCACTGGCAAAATGTGTGTCTCATCCCACTCTAGTGGGTGGTCCAGATCGGGGATAACAACCTTCTACTGCTGTTAGCTCAAGTGACAGAGGTCAGTATTGTGGATCTAATAAACCATACCTTGCTGAGGATACTAACTGGTGATCATTATGATTCCACATAATATAGTTTGTTTTATAAAATTATGTTAAACAAAAAACTATGTTAAAAGAATGTTAAGGTTGCAGAGTCAAGCACTGAGAAGTTAAGAAATGCCAGAATTTAGGTTGCCAGGCAAACTTAATTCACCCTTATTGTGTGTATGCATTCTGATACAGTCTGTAATTACATAACACACACTATTCCTGTAGGGGAAACACTTTGATAGGATTGAAATCTTAGATGAAGTCTGTGTGGAGTTAAATTAGTGGGCAGAATGCTGATGAAAAAGGTCAAAAGATCAAAATAATGGCAGTTTATTCCACAGTTTGCAGTGTATTCCATGAATGCAGAATTAAAGGAATTTACTCCAAGATTATCATAACCATATACATTGTGTAAATACCCCATTGTTAAAATTTAGAGGCAACTAGTGTGCTAATCCCTCAGATTTCAACTTCCCTAAATTATAAAAGACAATACAATATTTGTTGCTCAAACTTTATATAATGTACTGCCCTGAGGTAACTGAAAATCTTACCAACAGAACATTCAGAAACTTTGTTGGAAAGCTGTCTATATATACTATAATTTCAACTCAGTTTTTTTCTTTTTCTTAACTGAATTTTATGACCCACTGTTAGAATGAATGCCCCATTAATTGAAATTAAAAAAAAAAGTGAATTATATCAAATGATCCATCTTGTTCTGTTAGATTACATTTTGCAAAAATAGATAATCACGATCTTCAAATTACTATTTTTTCATTCTTTTTATAATTTGGAGCAATGAAACATTTAGACAATTGTATTAATTGCGATGATGTAAAAATTCACAAACTTATTGTTTTATGCCCCACATTGTCCCAGACAGGAGAGGGTTCAACACTGCATGAGCAAATCACATGACACGGACACATTCAAATCACATGACGAATACGGTCACCACATGACACAAAGCTAATGGGATAGTACACAGAGGGCTCAGGTGCGTACCTCACACACTAGGCACCAAACATAAAACTCTTAAACTAAGAAAAATGCTTACTCTATTCCCCACCCTGTGCCTCCAAAAATCACCCCCAGAGCCAGAATGGTCCCTGCCACTGCACCTATTAGCCTGTTAGTGGCCATGCTCACTGTGCGGAGGGAAAAGGGAAGATTTTTAAGGAAATGATCACATACTGTATATGTCTGAAATGAAAAATAAAATAGCACCTCACAGGGATATTTTACTTTGTAATCCATTGATTGTGTAACAGTTCAAACCTCCTAATAAATCTCTCCACACAAATACTATAGTTTTTAATATACGGAAATAGTTGAGGCTATATTTGGCTTTACTTGACTGCTTACAAACATTACTTTGATAAGTTTTACTGAAAATTTTGAAACTAAGTAAGGTTTCATAACCTGTGATTACATCACATTTTTATTTAAAATAGAATATCCTCAGCTTATGTACTATAAACCTACAATTTATTTAAAATGTAAACAGATACAATTTGATCACCAATAAGAAAACTTTCATCTATCACCAGAAACATACTGTATCCAGGTCATTAAACTAAACAGTTAAAGATGACCATTGTTGACTTATTACATTGTATAGAGTTGCTTACAAAAGACTGAAGTACTCCCAAAATTTTTTAAACACTGAATAACTGCAATTAACTCTTTTTCAGTGGTTTTCAGCCTGTGGTCTGCAGACCCCAGGGGTCCACAGACTTATGTCTTAAGATTTCCAAAGGTGTCTGCACCTCCATTTGAAATTTTTTAGGGGTCCACAAATGAAAAAAAGGTTGAAAAGCACTGTTGTAGATAAAATAGGCCTGATTTTCCACTGCCTTGTCCTCTGTGTAATCATTTAAACCTGTGCAAAGTGACTGCAAATGAGGTGTAAAATATCACCAAATCTGTACAGTAGTGTTTAAAATAGGTGTAAATGATTACACAGAGGGCAAGGCAGTGGAGAATCATGCTTATAGAGACCCTCTAAATCGGGGTGGGCAATAATTTTTGCAGGGGGCCACTCCACAAATTTTGGTAAATTGTCACGGGCCGCACATTTCTACTATATTAATGGAGGAGGTACGGAGTCTGGGAGGGAGTTTGGGTGCAGCAGGGAGCTCTGGGCTGGTACAGAGTGTTGGGGTGCAGGAGAGGGTGAGGGCTCTCTGAGGGAGTTTGGGTGCAGGGGGGGGGGTCCGGGCTGGGGCAAGGGATTGGACTGCAGGAGCGGGTGAGGGGTCTGGGAGTGGGTTCTGACCTGGGGCAGGGGGTTGGAGTGTGGGAGGGGGTGCGAGGTGCAGGCTCTGGCCGGGAGGCGCTTACCATAGGCAGCTCCCGGCCGGTACACAGCAGGGCTTAGGCAGGCTGCCACAGCCCCACGCTGCTCCCGCAAGTCTAACGCACATCTCTGCATGCCCCTTGGTTTCTGGCCAATGGGAGCTGTGAGAACGGTGCTGGGGGCAGGGGAAGCGTGCAGAGTCGCCCCCCCACCCCTGCCAAAGGCACACAGAGACGTGCCAGCAGCAGCTGTCTGCTTTCAGGAGTGGCGTGGGGCCACGGCAGGCAGGCAGCTTGCCTGAGCACCCTGCTGCGCCACGGGACTTTTAGCGGCCCAGACTCAGAGATCGCGAGGGGGCAGAGGAGGCCGTACAGAAATGTTAGTCATGGTGGGCCGGACAGAAATGTTAGATGGGCCGGATCCGATCCACAGGCCATATTTTGCCCACCCCTGCTCTAAAGGTTTAATTCTTAGCACAGCTAGGTTTGAATTTCGTGCTCTCTCTCCCCCATCACACTCACACCCCCCACCCCGAGAAAAAGGTTGAAGAGAGAAATAACACATCTGAGGGCATTCAAAAGAATTCTTGAATGGGTGTAGCTTTACCCAACTGATCAAAACAACACAATTACACATTTTTCTTCCAAAATGCGTATTGGAATGCAAAGTACAAACCCAACTACTTCAAAGGGATTAGGATATCTTGGCAGATTTTTTTTATCCTGCTGAGAAACACGTAAGCCTGATTCTTCCATCCATACTCGTAACTTACTCTATAAGCAGTCCTCTTGATTCTGGATTAATTGTTTACCAAAATCAGTTCTTCTAAAGAACAAACTATTTTTTAATTTGTTCAAGCAGAGACAATTCTTTTAAAGCAAGCAAACTTCTGCTGTTTTTAAAGTTAATATGTAGCTATTCTGGAAAAAAAATTAACAACATTGGCTCCAAGGCCAAGAATATAACTTGCCAAATTTCAGTCCAAAGCAAACGTATACAACTGAGGTATCATGCACCTGGTATAAATTTTTTAACCTTGATTCTTTTGGGTAACCATAAAATGTAAATGAGAAATTAGGGGCAGTGGAAGGGGGTTTATTTATTTGGTGCTGGCATTTCTCACAGTGGGAATGACAGAACTCAGAAGTATATGATATTGTCATACCTAGAGCTTCTTGGCGTGGTGCTGGCTTGTCTCCCTGAGGATTTTCCAATTTTGTGTAAGCACTGTACTCCAAATTCATAGTACTGGAGTCCTAGGAGTGAGGATGGAGGGAACAGTGCACCCCACTCCATGGTATGCTCTTCTCTGAGCCTGGCAGATATTTGGGCAGAGGTTAATGCTGCTCCAAACATTAGCTCCCATTCTGTACTTGCACTCTCCTCAGAGAGGGATATTTACATGGCAAAGAACTAGCCATCACCACATAGGCTGGCACAGAATAACGTTTCATTTTCCTTTCCCTATGGCTCCCCAGGATCTGAGGTGCTTGGAGGCCATATCTCCTGCCTCTTATGCAGACCACCCACAAACCCCTCTCCTTGATGGAAGTATTAAAGATAAAATTTGTGAGCTGAATTTTGAAGAGCTTCCTGGGCCTTCTGTCTCTCTCCTGTGGGTTTTACTGCAGGAGGCCTCAGTCATTCCAATATAATGGGGTTTTATCTCTCTTTCTCTAAGGTCCCCTAAACTATCTATGACTCTCCCATTACCACACTATCTGATCACCTTACAATCTTTAATGTATTTATCTGTGAGATACGGAAGAGTTATCTCCATTTTACAGAAAGGAAAGGAAGGCACAGAGAGATTAAGTAATCTGACCAACACCATACAGGAAATCTGTGGCAAGAAGAGAACTGAACCCAGGTCTCAGGCTAGTACCTCATCCAAAGTTTTTGTTGGTTCCCCTACCATCACTGCTTTTTTCCTTTTATGCACTCTATAACTTTTCCAAAATTGGAGATGTTCTGAAAAGTTACAGAATAGCAAAAGGAAAATAAAATTGCCTCTAACTTTTCAAAATTTCTTCGAAGTTACAGTGTTCCATTTTTCCTTTTGCCACTCTTTACTTTTTAGAAGTTGGAGAAGTTTATAAATTTGCAAAGTGGAAAAGGAAAACAAAGTAGGGGGAAATCAAGAAGTGTGTGTGGGAGGGAAACAGACAAACAAAGTCCCTACATGTCATTCATTCTATTGCAGTCAGTGGGGAAAAAAGGAAGAGAAAGGGGGAAAAATAAAAAACAATTTTTAAAGTAAATTAAAAATGAAATTGTAAGTCAAATCCAAATAAAAACTGTTTTATTTTGAAATTTTTTGTTGAGGGATTTTTTTTCCCAAACAGATTATTAATGGATGAGAGTATCTGTATTACTTAAATAGTAAAGCTTTCCTAAGCTGGACTGATTTATTTATTTTTTTTGGTGAGGGGGCTGGATTAAAAATTATATATTTTAGACACATGTAACAGCAGTTATAAGAGGAATCATTTATAATAAAAAGTGCTTTTTAGGCAATGATTTGGGATTTCAGTATTTTCTATTTGCTGATGCTCTCTTACTACACAGGGATTTATTTTTCAGACACAGAGAAGAACTCTCCTTTGAGACAAGAAAAATTGCCTGTATACTTCCCATATTCTAAAAGATTAAATTCAATAGTAGTAGACTGTAGCTGACTCACTGAACTCACACAGGCATGAGTCTCTGTAAATCTAATGATTACCTATTATTCTAGCTTTAATGATAGAGATTTTGCAAGTAATACAGTTTCACTTCAAAGAAGGTGTGTTTTAGACAGTCAAACTTCAGTCTGTTTCATATACTTAAATTTATGGTTCAAGTATAATACAGTTAAATCAAGCCAAAGTCCAATCCTGCAAATGAATCTGCACAGGAAGATGCCTGTGTGTGCAAGGAGTCCCACTGACTTCAAGAACAGGATCCAATACTGTAAGTAGCTCCAAGTTTCCTTCACTTCCAAAAATTGCTACTGTCCTGCAATACTATATTCTTGGTCTGCCACTGCAGGATACAGTAGGTTTCTGACTTTAGATGAGCTCATAACATCAATGTGAATTAATTCTAAAATAATAAATGACCACTGATTTTTTTAAATCCTTAAATATAGTAAAGAGGAAAAAGCAACTGATAGATGATGTAAAGGTCTGAAAAGAAAAACAGAAGTGCAACAGGAGCAGCAATCAATCATCAATTATCATAACAGAATAAAGAAAAAGCAAGCAATATGTTAGCTATACATAATACCGATCATAATAAGAAAAATGTAGGGATTTATGGTGTGAAAAACTGTTAATTATATGAATTTTCACATCTCAGAAGAAAGCGTTGGCAACCTTCCCCCAAATAGTTATCTGCTCTTATGCTACTTAAGGGCATGTTTCAGCACTAGAAAACACGGTAGAAAACTGAAGTCAGAAAAAATTAACATTCTCCAATTTTGTTAAATTCTTCAAAGAGAACGACTGACTTTTACTGCAACTCTTCCTTCAGCTCAGTCCTTGTCAATATCAATCAGTATGAGAATTCTAATTAATCTACATTTTGTTTTCCCCTTAACTAGGAGGGTATCTATTCCAAAGGAATATTCTCATTTTAATGGAAAGGACATTATGCATATAACTACTTTCATCATCATAAGAATATACTCCTAAGAGCTTGTCTACCCGAAGAATTAGACCATGGTAAGCTGGGTGTGACTATGCTGCTCTAGCCTGCTCAAAGTGCATTAACAAACTGGTCGTGTGTCTCAGCAGGGTGTGTGCACATGGGCAGTTAGACCATGGCAGGGCAGTGTGGGGCAGATTCAGACCCCCAGCTTGCCACCGTCCAATTGTTCGTGTAGACAAACACTAAGAAAGCGGTCAATCTCTTTGTCCATGAATGGCATAAGCCAGGGAGTAGGTGGAAAGGTGCTGTTAACATTTTTTAAAGATATTGAAGCTGCAGAAGATTTCTGGACTTAACTTTTTTTAAAAAAAAAAATTCTTGAACAAGCATCAGAGTTAAGGTTAGAAATCTCTCTCACACCCAGCCTCCAGATATCTGAAGTGTCAGATGTCAGAATTTGGAGGAACCAATACTTCTAACTCCTCAGATAAATTCTAAATTAAGTGAACCCATGACTTCTTACATTGTAGAAAAATTAATATAATACTTTGGAGCTGTTTTTCCAGACTTCCGTGCCTTCTGGAAGTAAGTTACATTTGAAAGACAAGAGAAATGGGCGAGAGAGATCACTACATCCCATTCTAAGAGAAGTTAACCTCTTAGAACACTGATATATTGAAGTGTAGTATTTGCAACCAAAAAAGTAAAAATGGAAAGTTTGAGATGAATTCCACTGAGGTGTCTATCATCAGATTTGTAAAGGCTCTTATTTCATGTATTTTTCCCTGCATTGATTTTGTGAGTCAGAGTGCAATAATCCTAGCATGTTTTTTAAACCTGTGGTCATACTAGATGACATTTTGTGACACTGGAGTTAATCTAGCTGTGATGTTCTCACAATTGAATCTGTGTTATCTGAATCTTGAGAAAATTGAGTTTCCTGCTTCTGCAATGTTATGGAACTCACATTTTGTGCTAAAGAAATATAGAAAGCATTTTAGTTCATGTCTGTTGTTTGTATGCTGACATGTGAGTTATGTAATTTTAGTAATAAAAAGAAAATCTTAATAGGAAGTGCTCAAGAACTTTAGAGTTTTATATCATTGCAGAAAACTATTTCTTTACACTTCCTGATACCTTTTCCCAATTGGATTTCTCTATTAACACACCAAAATAAACTGTAGAAAGTAGTCAATGTCCAATTCTCTGTCATGAGTCTCTTGGGGATTCAACTTCCAATAAACTAATATTGCCACAAATTTTTAAAAAAGTGTCAATTCTCCTTATGACCCATTCTTGTATCAAAATAAACTAAAAAGAAAAACTATATCAAGTTTATTTTTTCAATATAGCCATCGTATTGTATTATAGTAATCCATTTTCCGTATCTGCTGATACAATCTTATTCATTAATATCATTGGTGGTATCTATCCACAAAGATATTTTCCTAGAATGTCTCAGAGTTGGCATATTAATTTCTAGAATGGCTTTTCCATTTTGAAAGTAAAAAATAAAATTTGTAGTATAGTGATTTGATCTACGTGACCAGATGAACTTCTCTACTTGTCTTTAGACTTGTTTATAAATTAAACAAGGGTGTCTTTTTATTATTTTTATTGTTTCTTGTCTAATGCATCTGCAAGACAAGTATTACAGTACTCTTAAATGCTACAACAGGAGCTCCATCTCACCCTTCTGCACAGAAAGGAGGACTCCCCTTACTAATTCCTTGCAGATGGCTCTTCACAGAGTCAGGAAGGCTCTAGGGGAGCGGAGAGGGCAGGGAGCTATGCTAGGTGAGGTAGAAACTAGACAGCCCTATGATGTTTGGTGGTGGGGAAGGATGCACCTCTAAAGGTTCCCTAAGAAAGAGAATATCTATTCCACTTTGGTTTTCCACAGACAGTTAGGATGTTGCTTGGACTGTACAATTTTGATGTATTTCTTGCCAATCTAGTGATTTGGGTTTTGGAGGAGGTGGGGAGCCACAATTTCAAGTGCATACCTTTCCATGTGAAAAGTATTTCTGAGGAGTATTTCCCTAATAGTTCCTCTAGGTTTTTCTACTTCTTATACAGTCAATGAGGCATCTATTAAACATGCAAAAGTAGAAGACAGTAATAACAGTATGAGAAAATAACAGTTCCTAATATATTTTATTTTCTTTCCCACTGAATTCTGATTCTTAGGAGGTCAAGCTTTCTAAGCACTCTTCCAGATCCACAATGAGTTGAAGCCCCCTTTACAGTCAAGATAACTGTAAAAGAAACTTTTGTACAAGGGAGGCTTCATTTTCCCCTTCATTATGTCCTAGCTCTCAGGAACAGCATGGAACAGTCAAGGAACATCAGCAACTGGAAAATCTCTACTAAAGGATACATAATAAACTCACTATGTGGCCATAAATGTTGAAGTCTAGTAAATGTAGGTTTTAATTATGAAGATGGCTATTAAAGGACAGAATAAAGGGGGGAAATTGGGATGAACCAAATGTCTGGGTTCATATCTTTCTAGGAATGGGATCTGGATTTATAAAAGTCAAAGTATATTCACAAACAGTCTTAAAATTAACATGCATATACCTTCTCTGAGAGGCATAGTTTTAATATTCTCAAGGGTTTGATTCTGAATGACAGGGTTATACCCTCCTTTCCCACATGTTAATTCTACTGGTGCTAATAGAGAAGAATAATCTAAACATGTACTAAATATTGCAACTGAAATCACACAAACCCTTAGGTCCTTCATCCTTCTTGCTGGGAGTATCCCTGATAGGGTCATCAATACTGCAGTCTGTCCCTGCCCAGGAGAAATTACAAATGCAAGTGGCTTCATTACTACACACCTAGAAAAGAAAATGAAAATAACTGTTTTTAAAATACTTTTGATTGAGGTTATTCAGCATATGTTAGAAATAAGTTATAAGATACACATGATAAAATTTACCACAACACATACTATAACAAGAATGATTGTTTAGAAAGTTCAAAAAATCAATAACCTCATCAAGTACATAACAGGTTAGGATGGAGTGTTCACCCCACACTAGCCCAGAAAACATTAATGTGGCTCAGGAGGAGTTACGTAACTGATAGGGCACACATAGGAAGAGTTAGGTTTGATGAGCAAGCACTGATTAAGGATGGGGCAGAGCCTAGGAGAAGCAGCAGGTGGGGCTGGAATAAGGCTAAGCAGTGAGAGCAGAAGGGGCTGCCATGTGCAAGCCTCCAGTTGCTCTCTGTGCTTAAAAAGGAGAAGGGGAAAAACCCAGGAGAGTAGAAGCCCTGGGGATCCAGGCCCTGAGAAAAGGAAATACCTATAGAAATGTAGGAGAAGGAAGCCTGAAAGAGGAGAAGTAGAAAAAGGTTTGGGGAAATGGCTGCTAGGTTTGGGATGGTTCAGAGCTTGACTACTGACTCAGAGATCCTTGGAACCTGGAGTACTGGGCAGGCCTGGGTTCCCCTCCCAGCCACTAGGGAAGTGGCACAGTCTGGGCAGTGAATTGGAGGACTGCCTGAGACAGTTCATACAGAGATCCTTTGATACCCTGGAAGGGAAAAACTATAGTGACTTGGCCAGAAGGACAAGCCATGAAGCGGGAGCACCCTGAGTTACAAAGAGGGAGCAATCAAGTAAAGAGGAAAGATGGGGACACAGGGTGAGCAACCAAAGGAGGAGGCATCAGACTGGTCAAGAGGTAATCCCGAGATACAGCCAGAAGGAGGTGCCACAGTGGTAAGCTGTAAACCCCAAGACACAGGTATATCAAGTTCTTAGTTTTATTTTAATTTCCCAGGTAGATAAACTCAGAAGATAGCATGGCAAGAGTAGAAGACTCCATTAGAGCTCAACTGTCCCGTGGACTCTCACCAGTGCAGGAGTATAGGGGGCTCTAAGAACCCTTGTTTTTATTCATGGGCAACAGAGATCTTGGGTCTGGGTGGATGAGGCATTTGGTGAAGCCATAGTCTAGCCCTTATTAATTTGCTCTTTTCATGAAGCTGGGAAAGGGGGACACAAATTAAGTTACTTATTATATGTATCCATTTTCAAATTGATCATTGTAATCAGAACCACTTTCAAACTTTGGACTTCATACTTCCTTAGGCAACTTGTTCCAATGTAAGAGAGAGGGGGAATTCTGAGTTTCAACTGACAGTTTCTTCCTCATTCTTCCAGGCTGGTGGTGTCAGTCTATCCTCCAGCAGAATAGGCCAGAGATTCACTTTAAGACTGCACTTAGAAGGATACCTCTGTGAAAATTTGGGCTTAAACCCACCAAAAATTACATTACACTTGTAATAAATATGAACTCCTACCAAACCCATAAAATTTAAAATACTAAGCAATAATGGACAATGGTAAAAGAAATTAGAGATGGAGTTAAGTTGCTGAGGAAAGTGATTGAAGGAAGGTGTGGTGGAAAAGCAGTTAAAGATAGAAAGAATGAAATTTTGATCAACAAGATTAGAAGGGCAGTTAGTCATCAATAGAGGTACCTAATCAACTGGTACATAATGTATAAAAACTATAGACTACACAGTCTATAGATAATGCTTAACCAAGTTGACAGACGGTACAATGCTGACGATCAAAAGTAAATAAGCCATGTAATTTTTGTTTATACCTTTATCTCATTCTGCATCCTCTAATATTCACTAAAGAAGCTTATCAAGAAGGATAAAGATAACTTTAATCTTACTTGTAAGAAAGGTTTGTTGAACTGAAAATTCGAATTAGCAAAGGCACAATAGGAATGTGGAAAAAAATTCAAAGTTGTCAAGAGAATGTCTGGATCCCTTTCTTAACTCCTATATTGCCCTCGGTCTCTGTGCCTTTCTTTCTTTCTCCTTCGCTCTGAACCCAATTCACCCTCCTTTCAGTCTGTCTCCCTTTAGGGATTCTCTTCCCATATGAATCTTTCCCATAATAAGAAAACAACTTTCTAATATAGAGTCTAGTCCTCTATGGCACATATCTGTAGAAATTATAGCAGTCTCTTATCCCTTGTTGGCCCTGCTCTCCTTTAAAAAACAAACAAACAAACAAACAAAAACGGTGTGTATGGTGGGGAGCACAACTAGCCAGAAAAATGAAGTGTTTGATCAATAGTTAAGACACTTGATAACTTAGTCAAATAGACTCAGAGGCGAACTATGAAGCATAACATCCCTCAGTGTAAACTGATGTGCTAGGGTGGAAATAATGTCAAAACTAAGTGTAGTTTAAACCAGGGGTTCCCAAAATGTGGCCTCAGCCCACCTTGACACAGTCCTGGATGGTCTACCGGCATGCCTACTGCTGCAGCTCAGATGGACCTCCAAGAAAGAAGTTTGGGAACCCCTGGTTTAAACAGTAATGACTTCTTTAATTAGGCAGAAGAAGACAATCTGCATATGCAGAGGGTCAACATTCATATTTTCAGTCCAGAGTACAATGTAGCAGCGAGGAAGGCTAAGAGGATTAAATAGCCTGATGTTTTGTATTAAGAGTACATATTAACAGTCCTAGGAAAATGGAGTTATTAATGTAACAAGCGCTGGTTACTACCTTTGGAGCTTCCTGACCAGCACAATGCAATAGGGACAATAAATGGAAACGGAAGGCTCACATATGACACAATATTGGGATTATTTATCTGGGAGAGTCTGAGGTGATTAAGAGGTATCCTACTAAATTCTATCAAATTAAGGTTAATAAACGGGAACAGAGGGATATAGGTTTATGTTAAGAGGAAGTGTACTGCATATAAAAAGAATCCGTGGAGAATAAAGAAATTAGTGTTGCTAAAGGAGGTGAGGACCAGTATGAGTGAATGAACACAAGAAGCACAAGTAAGAAGATGCCATTTTCAGGTCTTGTCTACATGGGAGATTTTCCTTGGCTATGGCCTGAGGTGGCAAGCTATCAGTGTTGCTGCACAGATGCAATCCCTGACATAGACAGGCAAAGTTATTTGCACCAATGGATCTTAATCCAATTTCAAGGAGGTATAGACACCTTACCAAAAGGAGTTAATCAGGCTTCAGATCATGACACAACCGTGAATACTGCTCATTTGTTTCCCCATACATTCAAAGTGAAACATGATCCATCCTGAAAGATGAACTTGCTCAGTGTGGTCTACTTTTCTCTGGCCGCCTTTCTGGAGCACCACTGAATGTCTTCCTATTCCCTCTTGCTGGTGCTTTCCGATCTGCTCCAATCCTACTCAGGTCCCATGCCCTTGGTCCCACTTATTTCTGCTACCACCATCCTAAAGACCTAGCATCTAGATGGTACAGTAGGGCTTTCACAGTCTCTTCAAGCAGCCCAGAACACTGGCTATGCCATACTGGTTCTAAATTTTAGGGCAAGAACCCTGAATTTCTGCAGCATTAATACTGGATTCTGTGGCAAACTGAAATTATTCAGAGGTTTGAAATGTGTGGTGAAACATTAGGGAGGTTTTTATAGTACTGGAGTTTACTATTGACTTCAGTGGGAGCACAAGCCAGCTATAAGTGCTTTTGAAAATCCCACTCTAAATATTAACGTGAAAACTACAGTGAATTGTGTCACATAATTTAAAAACCTTGTTTTCTCAACTGTTCTCTATGCCTCTCACACTGTCATAGAATTAAAGTATGTCACAAAATCCAACACTTGTGTATTCAGGAAATCAGAAGGTCTTACTGAAGATTTTAGGTACAGTACACAACACTGTACATTAGGCCCTGTTTATATTGGAAGTATGGACAGAGCTTATCTGCTGTCCCACGGATATGGACTTACCCCATGATTTGAACAGACTTTTCCATTAGAACCAATAGGGCAGCTACTTATGTTCAAGGACTGAATTGGTAGGCACTTCCTGTCTAGACACATCATGTGAGGGCCACATGGAGCTCCATCTTCCACATATCCCAAATCTGTATCGTCATCTAAAAGCACATGAGCACCACTAGGAGAAGAAGTTTTAAAATACTATTAATATTATGACTAGAGCCTTTTAAAGATATTAAAACACAATAAAGGTAGGGATGTTAAAAGCCCTATAACTTCTTCACTCCACAGCACACTAGAGGAAAGAATATGGTATGCACAAATTCACACCACATTTTTTCTATTAATCGCACAATTCTCACAGTAGCACTGACATGAAGTAGCTGGTAACATAGAGAAGAATTCTAGGTATTGACATGCAATCTTAATTTGATTTTAGATTACATATCCATACCACAGAATGATATTTCTTTTTTTCATACCACAGAATGATATTTCTAGAAATAGTAGTTCATGTATATAGATTTATGCATATTTTATGAGAAATGTTTCATGCTTTAACTCTAACCTCAAATGGGAACAGGGAGTAAATATGGAGGAGAATAGTTGTGTATATACACACAAGAGAGTATTCTTTGTTACTTTTAGCATTCTTAATCATCAAATTTTATTTAAATTTTTTAAAAGCACCCATCCAGTAATCTGCATGCAAGACGATAAAAACGTGCCTATCCTCTGACCAATTAAATGATAACTAAAGATTTCCTCCTACCACAATCATTCATATAAAACAAATAATTCCTCTTGCTGAGATAGTACTGCTCAAAACCATGAAGTCTTATATATGGATCTTTTGCTCTTCTGGATTATAATTCTTAAACTTCATGGAAGAGCAATGTGATGTTCCACGGTAAGGTTTGATACCAGTCTCAAGAGTCTCCACGTGCATTTCAACGCTTAAATGGAGAATATCAGTGATTTTTAATAAAAGGAGAAATACCATTTAAAATAGTGATTTTTACCTCTAACAAATTTAAATTTAGCTGTTTAAATTTTTTATCTTTATCTTTTTCATAGCTTCCTAAATTCCAAGGTCAGAAGGGACCATTGTGATTATCTAGTCTGACTTCCTGGATAGCACAGGTTATGTCTACACTTAAGACACTACAGCAGCACAGCTGCAGCTCTGTGGTAGCACTTCATTGTAGAGACTACAGCAGTGGGAGAGGTTCTCCTGTTGCTGTATGTAATCGAGCTCTCCTGTCACTGTATAATTCTTCTGTTGACCTAGCACTGTCTGCACTGGGGGTTAGGGTCAGCTTAACTACGTCTCTCAAGGCTGTGGATTCTTTACACCCCTGAAAGACGTAGCTATGCTGATGTAACTTTTCAATGTAGACCAGCCCTCAGCCATAAAACTTCCCCAAAGTAATTCCTAGAGCATACCTTTTAGAAAAACATCCAATCTTGGTTTTAAAATTGTCCATAATAGAGAACCCACCATGATCCTTGGTAAATTGGTCCAGTGGTTAATTACCCTCACTGTCAAAAATTTACACCTTATTTCCAGTCTGCATTTGTCTAGCTTCAGTTTCCAGACACTGAATCATGTTCTACCTTTCTCTAATAGATTGAAGAGCCTATTATTAAATATGTGTTCCCCCTGTAAGTACCTGAAGGCTGATCAGGTCATCCCTTAACCTTCTCTTTGTTAAGGGAAATAGACTCAAGAACCACAATCTATCACTATAAAGACATGTTTTCCAAACCTTTAATCATTTTTGTGTCTCCTCTTTGACTTCTCCAATTTATCAACACCCTTCTTGAATTGTAGACACCAGACCAGGACGCAGTATTCCATCAGCACCAAACACAGCTAAAATAATCTCTCCACTTCTACTTGAGATTCCCCTATTTATGCATCCAAGGATTGCATTAGCTCTTTTGGCCACAGCATCACACTAGGAGGTTGTGTTCAGCTGATTATCCACCACAACCCCCAAATTTTTTTCAGAATCATTGATCCTCAGGATAGAGTCCTCCATTGTGTAAGTATGGCCTACGTTCTTTGTCCCTCAATGTGTATATATAGCCAAATTTAAAAACTTATATTGCTTGTGCCCAGCTTGCCAAGTGATCCAGATCACTCCGTATCAGTAACCTGTCCTCTTCTTTATTTACCCCCTCCCAATATTTGTGTCATCTGCAAACTTTATCAGTGATGGTTTTATTTTTTCTTCCAAATCATTAATAAAAATGGTTAAATAGCATATGGCCAAGAACCAAACCCTGTGGGACCCACTAGAAACATGCCTCTTTGATGATACCCAGTTAATAATTACATTTTCAGACTTATCAGTTAGCCAGCTTTTAATCCATCCAGTTTGGTTACAGATAGAAAAACCATTTGTGTATGCTGTATAGTCTTTTACCTGCAGTCCACTACACGCCCCTGGTGGTAAAAAGAGGTTGGGGAAATTTCTCCCTGAAGATGACCAATTCGTGGAACTCGACTAAGATTAGTGCAGAGCAAAAAGCCACAGAACACATCACTGCAAAAGAAAAACAAAGAAAGGGACAAAGACAAAGTTACCAAATAGAGTCACACTAACAATTAGCAATATTTATAAGATACAAAATGTTGTGTCAAAAGCAATGAAGACATGAAACCAACAATATTACTGCAATAAATAACTTAAGACCAGCTTCTGCCAAAAAATAACTTAAGACCAGCTGGTCACATAAAGTAATAACTTACTCAGTGAGTAATACCACAAACTTTGGTGGTACTACTCTAAATAAGGTACTACTTGATTTGAACAAGGATGGCAGAAGCTAGTCATAACCAGCAGATGGTGTTAACTGCAAAAGTAGAAACAAAATTCTACCAATTGGTTAATTATGAATAGCAGCATTTCCCCATTTTGTTTGAACAAAAAAACTATTTCCACAAAAATACTTGAATATAATATTTAAAAGGGCATACAGGTGGACAAACTATACATAGTTTTACATTGTGCTTTTTCAGGTAGTTTGGTTACTCTATGCTGATGCAGTTTGCTTATTTTGTATTTTATTTTATTCCCCATGTCATCACAGTACAATCATAATGACTAGAAGAATCAGTAATGTTCAGGGTGCACTACTGCATTCTTGGGAAAGACACCAGCTTATCTGCTGCCACTTTATAACAAATAAATAACAGTAGCCTACAAGCCTCAAGCTGGCTTTCCTGGCATGGACTGCCCAAATTTTGCATTGAATTTTGCATCCACACATAGCTGGATGAATACGGGAAAACAATGTGAATATCTGTATGCATTCCAAATGGCTGTTCAGTCTGACCATGTTTGTGCTCCTTATTAGCTATTTTCAAACATTCCTGCAAATGTTTTTAGGGATTTTTTTTTTTTTAAATTATGAATGTTGCGGGAAATGGTTGTTCTTCACATGACTATTCATTCACCCATTAACAAGAGTATTCATCATTCATTATTCTCCTACTTTTAAAGTTTCAGTCATCCAACCAAGGAGCAGATGTATCATGTGACACAGCAAACAGCTGTAGTGAACACGTTCACAAACCATGCATAGGTCAAAATTTGTTCACTTAATCAGATCACTTACAAATAGTAAATAAATTAACAAACATCTAAGTACTCCTGAATGATTCCTGAACTGGAAAAAAAGGGCTAAATCAAATAAGTCTTTTACCTCTAGTTATATGCTTTCTCAACTAACTCCCTTCTTGGAAGTTCAACACATGCCCAAGACAATAGGGAGAAGTAAAGAGGAGGAGGAGCTTACACTGCCAGGACTAGTAGTTGAGACAGAGGAAGAGTTTAGTACTATATCAACTGCCTCTATCCCGTGGGCACTATGGCTACTTATGATATATGTCCCGTAGCTGGTGTCATCTCTGGATGCACACTGGTAGGATGAGCCTTTCTCTTCCACAGATCACTCAGAGCTCACTGTTGTCCATGGCCTACTAGTGTCTTCCAAATATTTGGTCATACTGTATGCGAGGAGGTCCAACATCATGGACTCACTCAGTGAGAGCAGACTTCTACCAAGCTGTCACTGCAGCTTCCCCTCCCCCTTCCCCCTGGCTACAGTATGGAATTACCCTGAGATCACAGGATCTAGCAGAGATTCCTGGGCCACGTCTGGAGGCGGAACCAGCATGCATATCTTTGGCCATTTACATCCCTGCCTGACATTATAAATGTATGACACTGTGCTGCTATCTCCTTTAACTTCTCTTCATGAGCCCAAATTGTCAGTACATCTGCATGAAAATCTAGATGTGAGAAATTCCAAAAATGTGAATTTTTGAGCCACCTGGGAATTCTGCAAACCAATCTGTGAAATATTTTGGAGTTCTGAAAATTTGTAAGAAAAAATGGAGGATTCAAAACCATGCAAAACAAACTGCTGAAAAAGTCCATTAGAAAAATATTAGGCCAATTTCACCCAAAGTATTTAGACCGTTTCTACAAAGCTAAACTTACTGTTTACTGCACTGAATCCATTGGTCTCCATCCTTTCCACAGTTTCCTTTTTTTGTGCCTTCTGTATTAAGCTTCTCATAACAGAATTTGTCAGACCCCGTAGCCTCTTTGATGAAAAAGGGAAAAGAGAATGTACTTTACATTGACAGCAACAAATATTCTCTTCATAAAATTAATGTAAAATATGTAAACAACTGCCACAAGAAAATATAAACACACGACTGAAATTTCATCCTGTGTTTTAATTTATGGAGTAGATTGTGTTTACACAATGAGCGAGGGAAAGAGAGGGAAGAAAAGACAGAATTCTATCAGGCAGCTGAAAAGGGAAAATATTTCCTACCTTATACTCAGATTCCAATATCTGAGCTGAATATCAGTCTGGAGACTCTCTCTCGGTGATTTGTCTAAACAACATCTACCTCGGTGTATATGTTCTTCACTTGAATATTCTGGGGGGTCTCATTTTGCTCACACTTACATCAGTTTTACAGTGGTGCAATGTAACTGTTTTCCTTGCTGTTATTCCTGATTTATACTAGTGTGAGAGTAGAATCAGATTATCTCTCTGGAGCACCAGATATTTGCCTCTCGATGTATCCAGGGAAAGAATTAAGAGGCCTGATTCTCCTCTCACTTATACCAGTGTAAATCAGGAGTAACAGAGTTAAACAGATACAAAACCAATATAAGTGAGAACAGCATAAATCTGAGACTAACTCACCATTTTTCAAAAAGAAAAGGAGTACTAGTGTCACCTTAGAGACTAACAAATTTATTTGAGCATAAGCTTTCGTGAGCTAGAGCTCACTTCATCGGATGCATTCAGTGGAAAATACAGTGGGGGGATTTATATACATAGAGAACATGAACAATGGGTGTTACCATACACACTGTAACGAGAGTGATCACTTAAGGTGAGCTACTACCAGCAGGAGAGCGGGGGGGGGGGGGGGGAGGGAACACAAATCAGACGTTATAACATTCAAAAACCAGTTGGAGAACACTTCAAATCTCTCTGGTCACTCGATTACAGACCTAAAAGTTGCAATTCTTCAACAAAAAAACTTCAAAAATAGACTCCAACGAGAGACTGCTGAATTGGAATTAATTTGCAAACTGTATACAATTAACTTAAGCTTGAATAAAGACTGGGAGTGGATGTGTCATTACACAAAGTAAAACTATTTCCCCATGTTTATTCCCCTCCGCCCCCATCCCCCACTGTTCCTCAGATTTCAGAGTAGCAGCTGTGTTGGTCTGTATTCGCAAAAAGAAAAAGAGTACTAGTGGCACCTTAGAGACTAACCAATTTATTTGAGCATAAGCTTTCATGAGCTTGTAGCTCACGAAAGCTTATGCTCAAATAAATTGGTTAGTCTCTAAGGTGCCACTAGTAATCCTTTTCTTTTTGTTCCTCAGATGTTCTTGTCAGCTGTTGGAAATGGCCCACCTTGATTATCACTACAAAAGGTGTCCCCCCCGTCCCCGTCCCCCCCCGGTAATAGCTCACCTTAAGTGATCACTCTGGTTACAGTGTGTATGGTAACACCCATTGTCTCATGTTCTCTATGTATATAAATCTCCCCACTGTATTTTCCACTGAATGCATCCGATGAAGTGAGCTCTAGCTCACGAAAGCTTATGCTCAAAGAAATTTCTTAGTCTCTAAGGTGCCACTAGTACTCCTTTTCTTTTTGCGAATACAGACTAACACAGCTGCTACTCTGAAACCTGTCACCATTTTTCAGGGTAAGCAGAGAAGTCCTAACTTTCCTAATAAAGTAGGATTAGATAGAAGAGCCACATTCAATCTAGAACATTTTCCACCTTTCTTCTCTTTAGTCTTTTTGGGTTTCCACACATTAGTATGCTTGCGCTAAGAATAAACCTTTTCAGAGTCTCACCTACCGAAAAAGGCAGGAGCAGCAAGCTGGCTGTGTGGAGGCAGAGCAAACAATAATGGCAAATGGTTGAAAGAGAGGAAAGTAAAGAGAGAACAAAGGCAGAGCCTGAAAAGATGTTCTCAGAATTTGGTCTGCGATGTGACTTTTCTGTGCTTGGGGGTGGACCAATAAACATCCTTCCAGACTCATGGAGTTTATATAAAATTTCTCATTAACAAGCCCTTTAGGCTTTCTTTCATTAAAAATAAATAGTATCTCCATTATTTAGAATGAAACAAGAGTAACCACTAAATACAAAGTATTAGTTACAGCACAGGCACTTACACAGAAAAGACAATCTCAATAATTTAAATTAAAATATAACCTTAGAGTTAGAGAAAAAACGTACTGTACTGCCCCCGAGCTGAGGGAAAGGTATCAGGAGTCCACTAAACCTACTGTCCCCATTGTGCTCTGCATTAAATGCACTATACCTTGTGCTGCTTGTGACAGACAGGAAAAGGTGGAAATCTCCTAACGCCACAATGGGTAGGAACATTCTTTTCTCTCTCACAGACCACACCCCCCCCCACAATCACTTAAACTGGGATGAATTTGGCACACACAAACATCACAATGGCATGAGTGCAACAGACTGGGACACACTGGTAGTTCACAAAAAGAAAAGGAGGACTTGTGGCACCTTAGAGACTTAACAAATTTATTTGAGCATAAGCTTTCCTGAGCTACAGCTCACTTCATGGGATGCATTGCTGTAGCTCACGAAAGCTTATGCTCTAATAAATCTGTTAGTCTCTAAGGTGCCACAAGTCCTCCTTTTCTTTTTGCGAATACAGACTAACACGGCTGCTACTCTGAAAACTGGTAGTTCAGTTCTCCTGTCTTATGCTCAAAATCATTATCCAGTGCATGTCTCACCTGAAGACGATGGAATTGATAGTTATCTGTGTGATTTAGTTTTTAAACACACACATTTATATTAAGGTATATTAACAAATATTCTGAAGACAAAAAATATATTTATTCAAAAATATTAACCTAACGTGCCTGTAGAATTTAGTTTTATATTTTCTGGTGAGTTTCGGCCTGAGTTAGCTGCAGTATATGCTGCTCACCTTACCTATATCTACAAGCACAGCAAATTATCACCACCTGATTCTCAACATATCACAGCACCCAAATACCAAATGACATCACAAGTCACCCATATTATCTCAACAGACATTTTTTCTCTGCTCTACGGTGGAAACTTTTAACTGAAGGAGGAAAGTACAGTAGGTGGAAATACTAATAATACAAACTAAACAATACATATGAATAAAATATATTTAAGGTAGGCAACGTCAACCTACTAATTCCCCAAATGTATTTGCACTGATTGTCTCTTGTCTTGCATTCTCCATTATAGCAACGTCCCTAAACAAAAATACAACAAATTAGTGAAGGGAAACTGAACATATTACGTTCTTTTTAAAACCAAATGTTGTCCTTCAGCTGTCTTTACAAGTTCTCTTTCATTTTGATTATTATAGTTTATACATGGGGATATACTCTCCTCAATGTTTGTGTTGGGATGGGGGGGAGTGGAAAGTACCTTTATATGCTGAGGGCCTGATTCTCTACTGCACTTCATGTTGTCATTTAAACTAGCCACCGAGCACTGAAAATGCTGCCAAATCACCCACACTAGCGACAGCATTATACATCCACTTTGCAAGGTGTAAAGGCCTGCATAAGATGCAAACTAATGAAAGAATTGGCCCTTCATTTCTATTAACTTCGATGGAACTAACACCAGTAAATCACTGCAGAGTTATATTAAAATATAAACCTGTACATTTGGGTGCCCACTGATCCTCATCAATCTTGTATTTCTATTTTCTGCAAACTGCCTGCTGGCCAGAAATAAAAATCAGTGGAGAAAGCTGAATTTTTTTAAAGTGATCTGAAAAGGACCAAACTGACTGCATGTAAAACTGAAATTCTCAATGTTAAAAACAGAGCATGGACAGCACAGGCAACATCAGTGCAAGTTTTTTTACACTGCTACAAGTAATATGCCTCAACTTTAGCCAAGAAAGTGAGAGACTAGATCAGTCCCTAGGTCTACACAATGGCCCCCAGAAGGCTGAACAAAACATTGAAGAACTGCAGGGAGAGAGGGATGGATGATAGACTCAAATTTAATAGGTGCTCTGTTTGTCTGCACGAAGTTTGACAAACCCTTAGGATGAATAAACTGAGACGACTGAATGTATGAAAAAATAAGGAAGAAAAGTGAGTTAAGAAATGAAAATTTACACTGGATTCATTATTCATTGATTTGCAAAGGTTTAAAAATGTTACATACCTGATTAGAATCACAAGCATATCCATCTTGTTTATGAAGATTTGATGGGCACTGAACACCAAAAGATAAAAATTCTTGATCAAATTATAACATTTGGAGTTGTAGGACAATAAACAATAAATTATTTAAAAACAAATAGTTGGCATAAAATACATGCAGAGGAACTGTGCAACAGAAGATAGCACTAAAGATGACAAAGGGCCCCAAGGGTTATAATTACTGTGTAAGAAGCCAGAAAAATTAGGTTTATATTTATTAGAAAATAGACTAATAGGATATATGATTGTGGCGTATAAAATTCAAAGAAAAAAAAGAATGGAGAAGGCTTATTATGTTTATATAGTATCCAAAATGTGGTAGGTGCTTTACAAACAAATTAAAATGATACAGTAAATGTACCAAAGAGTTCACACTACCTACAGAAATGAGAGAACAATACATGGAAACAGGGAGGAAGGAAGACAAAGGTTACACAAGTCACATCACACAGCCATTTAAGAAATATCACAATGCTATTTGACAGTGAAACTCAAACCAAGAGGGAACAGAATGAAACAAAGAAAGAACCAGACAGACACTTAACCCTTACTGGGACCAGCTCCTGGGATCTGCCAATTGGCAGTGATTGTGCATTGGCAGTGATTGTGCATTGTCACAAGACAACTAGCCCAAATCTAACTGCCTATTTTGGTTTTTCTGTTTACTGATTTTATGACATTGTTGGAGACATCAACAGAAATGGCTATGCACTAAATCAGGGGTCCCCAACACGGTGCCCACAGGTGCAACGGCGCCTGCCGGGGCAGTTGTGTGCGCCCACAGGACACTGCACTGCCGAAATGCCGCTGCTGAGCACAGCCACCCGAGAACCACCCGCCGAAATGCCGCCGAGAAGCGTTGCCGCTTCTCGGCGGCATTTCAGCAGCAGGGGGTCTGGCTGCCGCCCCAGTCTTCTGGAAATAGGAAGATGCTATTCCCACAGAAAGGTTGGGGACCACTGCACTAAATTGTCATGAAGTTCATTTTTTTGTCTGCAAGTATTTGTTAGATATAGTTGCTACAGAGCAACAAGTGTCCACAAAAAGTACGTTACAGTAATTTTGTATAATCAATTAAAAACTAGGGGCAAATAGCTTTTCCTCTTTAATGTTTTTGATAACAGAATGGTGGATTTGTTAAAAATAGCACAAAAGATTTTTCTGGTGTAGAGAACATTTGTACAGTAACTGGACTTCTTCAAAATGTGTTGTCCATATGCACATTTCGCTGAGGCTATGCATGCACCTCAAGAAGTGGAGATCCAAGTCTTTGGGGCCAGCAGTACCCATAGGGCATGCGTGCACTCTGCAGTCCTCATGCTTTTCTGCAAAAGCATATAAGGGCAAGGCATGCCCACTGCCATTTGGTTCCTTCTGACTGCAGAATCCCATATAAGAGGACTCTGATGTAGAGAAGCTGGAAGCGCAGATTGTGGAACATGCATATGGATAAACATCTCAAAGAACTCCAGTTACTGTATACAGTAATTAACTTTCCTTTCTCTGTTGAACGACTGTCTATATACACATTCCACTGACACGCGTTCTGCTCTTCCTCACATGAGGTGTATACATACCATCACTGGGACGGCCATAAGGACAATCACTTGAAGGAGAACAATTTTAAAATAGGTGACATTTGGGGCATAAAGAGGATGACATTACCCATTTATATATCTGCAGGCGCACTCAGCAATGTCTTCCAAACATCACAAACTGAATGGCTCACAACTTTCTTAAGAAACAAAGCTTCAGTTTTGTCCATATTTAACTTTTCTCAGATGCTACATTTTGACTAACCTCTTTTAACGATGTATCTATTTATTCAGTGTCTGTGGTGAAAAATTTGGGAGTCCATTTTTTAAAACGTCATTTTCCTTCTATTTCTCATACTGGTTTAATCGTTCATATTTGCCTTTTTTACTTAACTTTTCTAAAAGGTGCAGGATTTTTAACCATTTCTGCTACTAAATGCACATAGTTTCTTAGTTGGACTATGACAGCATTCTTCTTGCTTGAGCTTTATTTTTGGCCATCAATCTATTTATGCTGTTAGATTAATTTTTCAGGGCTCTCCTTTTTCTCATGTTATTTGATTTTTTTTTCATTTACACCAGCTGCCATAAACTTAGATCACAATTCTGCCACACTGACTCATATTAAATAGTATCTTACTTTATTAGTATTATTGTTTAACATATATATCGTGGCAGTGCCTACATGCCTCAACTGTGCCAGGGCCCCATTGAATAAATCATTATACAAAAATATACAAATTAACAGTCTCTATCCTGCAGAGCTTAGTCTGAGAGACAGGCATAATAGGTGGATGAGACAAACAGGCAGACTAGGAGGAGAATGGGGTAACAAAAAATAACTGGATGTTTTAATACAGATTTAGGGCTTATCTACATGGGAAATTATTCTGAGGTAACTATTCCTGACTAACTCGATGTGTGGACACTCTTATTCTGAAATAAGAATGCCTTATTCCAAATTAGCTTAATCCACTTCTAAAGCTTTGGAAGTGTCAATCCACTTTAAATTCACTTCCTATCTTATTTTGGATTAATTTTCACGTGCAGACCAGCAATGTGAGCACAAATCTTCGCCATATATTAGCAATAATCACAATTGCCAAATGGCAGTTTGCTTTATACATTGTGGCAGGGTGAGGTTTGAGAGGGGGCTTGAAGAAGGATAATGTGGTGATTAAGGATTTTGACTGGGAGCTTTTCCCAGGCAAGGTGGTGGCAGGGAAGAAAGTGCAAAGGTGCTTGTGGGAAAAGCAGACAAGAGGGCAATCAAGGCTGGAATCACTGGGAAAGAGAAGGCAGGAGATAGTAGGATGGATAGACAGGGCATGACTAAACAGTGGAAAGTTAGGATAAGAAATTTATATTAGATGTGATGGAAGAGGGGGAGCCAATAAAAGGACTTAAAAAGGGTGGTAAAGGAGTCCAAGTGACAAGCCAGGAAGATGATCTTAGGAATAGCATGTTGAATTAACTTGAGGCCGCAGGCAACAGGGCCAAATGAGAAAGAGGCCCAAATGAAAAATGAAACCAAGAGACAAGGTGAAAGTCCACAATGATAGAGAAAGGAAAGGGCTTCAGAGAAAAGTTAAAAGCTTTGTTTCGGCCAGTAGTTTCAGCTGATGACTGGATACCCACAAAGAGAAAGCCAGGCCAAGATTTTAATCTAATTGTAGGGCAAGAGGTCCAAAGTAGAGAGGCAGACTCTGAGTCGTCATTATCATAAAGATGGTAGTCAAAGTCATGTTTACAGATAAGTTTGCCCAGAGATAGGGTGGATAGGGAGAAGAGGAGGGGGCCAAGGATGCAAACCAGAGGATCCCCCCACAGAAAGAGGGAGAGAGAGGGAGGCAGACCCACTGAACTAGACACTAAAGGAGTGATCTAACAGTCAGTGGGAGAACCATGTGAGGACAGTCATGAAAGCCAACAGATGACCAGATTTCAAGAAGAGTGTGGCGGATGGCATTAATGGCAGCTGATAGGTCAAGGAGGATAATGACGAGTTACTGTGCAAGTACATCCACTGGAAACAATGGACCTACTTGCAGAGTAAGATACTATTCAAAGTGTGTGTGTGTAGTAGAACTGGATCTAAAATTATTTTAAATTGGATTTGGATCCTTCTTTGTTTGGTGCACACATTTGGGGTGCCAAAGAACATCATGATATTCCTGCTATGTCCTCTTAAGTGAGGATAGGAAGGTGGTTTTAAGGTTTTTCTGTAACACCCATTACCTTAGTATGCAAACACCAACCACCTACTCTCAAGCTGGTTTTCTGTTGCTGCTTACTCTAATACGACTGGTAGAAGAAGCAGAGTATAAGTGCAACTAAAAAGACTAGTTGTCAGAGAGGATATTAGTTACTTTCATACTGCTATTTTTGTTAATCAAAGGAAGCACGAGCAAGGAACCAATGAAGGATGGGATGGGAGAAAGACACAACATGGTGGAAATGGGGAGGACACAGAGTCTATATAGAGGGGGAGAGAAACAAACATGGGGGAGGGAGTTTTCTCATGAACCACAGTCTCTGATCAAAACTCTTTCCCCTACCCTTTCTTTGAAACTAACTTCTTCCACCTGATAAGAGGCGGCTGGTATTTCAGCTCTACTATGCACTCATTAGCTCTGAGGGATAGATGGGGATGTGGGCATTGCCCAACTCCCTTCCCACAAACTCTGGAGATACCACTGTTGACAGCACTAATCTTGTGCAGTCTTTGTATTCAGGGAACTGCAAGGATCTGATTAGCCTACAATACCTTTCCACTTTTGCATTCTGCAGGACCAGATATAATCTTACTTGTTTTGGGAGCCAGTATAAATGCCAGATGGCTAGGGCATTATTCTGTTATTTTCTTGTTGCTCACTGCAAGTATGTGTGGGGAGAGAGGGAGAAGAAATTGAGCACACTGTTCTATCTACATATCTAGAAGTGCTCTAGGATAGGACAGCTTTCATTCTCCACTACAGAGAAATTCTGGCTCTTTGTTAAACAGAAATTGTAATGCTTGCTCTTAAGATAAATACATTAATCAGTAAAGAATAAAAGTTTCATCTTTTCTTTAGTTTTCAGCCAAGACTCCTATAGCCAAAGCCTCTAGGATTCCCTTTGAATCATGTACAGTTTAAGTAGCCCACACCAAAATCACAAACAGCATACTGACTATACTGGTACGAACAGCTAATGGCTTTAATTGCCTGATAAACCTTGAAGTACCATGTTAAATTCTACTCTTATTGCGTGTACTTAATGGAAATTAAGGAGATGAGTCAATACATGAAATGTCAAGGCTCCATTGTGGGTAGAATGAAATATAGCTTTACATGCATACCTTTTCTTTGATACTTTTGCTAAGTTGTGCCCTCACAAAACTCCAGGGAATCCCAATGGGGTTTGAGTAAAGGCAGACTTAGTCTCTCTGCTGTTATTTCTTTTGATAAGTAATGTTCTGAAACAAATCATTCAGCACAGCACATAAACAGGTTTTATTTTCCTTTCCTTATTTTATACTATATTTGTTTTCTTTCCTTTTTCTTTTCTTAAAGGATTGCTTTGCTTTCTGCTAACATGTGTATACCTACACTGCATCTATAATAAGTGCTTATTGCCAATAACCTGTTTATCAGTTTTAGATATTTTGCTGGGGTTTGTGTCATTCACTCTTCACATTGTTTTATGAGTTTTCCTTTCTCTTTTTGTAACAGAGTTTATGTTTATTAAATAATTGAGAGCAGCCATTTGCTAATCACTAGAACAAAAACCTTCTTCAAAGACACTTCAATCAAAATACATTTTTAATATTTACAGCTAATGAGGGAACTGGTCATTTTGAGCCAATGTAGTATCAGCTTGTTACTCAATATATTTAACTGGGATAAAAAGATTATGAAATTGAATAGAGTATGCAGAGAGCTTAGGTATACATACCTGACCAGAGTCGCCAGTACAGTACTCTGTAATATCACACTCATTCACTGCATATCGACAGTCATAGCCTCGTGGGAAAAACTAGAAAACAGAGACCATTCATTAGAACTGAGATTATATAATGGCATATTCTGGATTCTTGTTTAGAAATATTGCTCATGTTTCAAAGCCATACTTCTCAATTTTCAAATGAGTCTCAGTATCAACATCCTTTGAGTCTTGCCCACAGAATAACAGAGAGAACAAAACATATCCAGAGGAAGCTTTTGGTACAGAAATAGTGTATGACTAACTCAGGAACCTACATTTTGTAATACTTGTGTACACACACACACACATTCAAGAAATGCTGAATTATCTAGGAACAGCAAAAAACCCACTGCTAGCTTCTGGTTCAACTGAAAGTGGTGCACATCAGTAATCTGAAAAGTATTCTTTTGTGATACATCTCTGCTAGAAATATTTTTCATACCATTAAGACACTATGTGTATAGGAAAAACCATACAGATTTATTTCTGCCGAGAAAATATTGAGACTTTAAACAAAACAACCAACCCACCCATCCATTGGTTTATCAACAGCACATCTGCTTCTACATTATACAGATTAGGTGTATGTTTAATTTAATGGGGCTAAAATAAAGCCCAGAAGCATGAGACAGTAAAAAAAATATTGTTAATGTTTACCAACAAAGATACTATATCTCAACCCAGTCTCATCCTGTTTCTTTTAATTACATTTAGATAGTTATCTGAGAAATTACTGCCCCAAGTCAAAAGGCAGGTTATAGTCCTGTGATGTTCAGAGACCTAGTTCTCATGGAACAGTTTAAGACACATCCTTTAGGAATTCTCATCTTTGCTCTGTCTCTAATAACATTTCCCAGATATACTAATAATTCACCATATCCTGTCATAAGCTATGCACAAGACTCCCACTGACTTCATTTGAAATCCTGTGTATGAAATAACAGGATACCAGAGTGTGGCCCAATATTATCACAATGAGACCAGCATCTAAATTATTTTTTTTCTAAAGTACTTGCAATCCAGAATTTTGGACCACAAATCACAATATTTAAAAATGAAAAATCAAGTGAGAGGCTGCTTAGTATGCCCTTCAATATCTGCTATTGGCAAACTATATCAGAGAAGAAAGCCTTCACTACCTTTTGTAGCAACTATTAGTATTTATCATACTGCGTGGCTTCCAGAGATTTCAGCTGGATGACAAGTAATGCTACCAAAAGTATAAATTCAATTACTTGCCACTGAAGAAGAGAAATGCACATTACAACTTTACATACTATTAGATCATTGCACCCAAAACACCAAGCAGCTTAAAAATCACTCTACCCATAACACATTTACTTTCAACCATATAAGTAAATAGATAAATAAATGTAATCTGGTTTTAACATTAATCTCAATAACATTTTCAAAGTATTGATCAAGGTTTCAGATATATGAACCATATCAAAGTCAATGAAAGTTTTGTGACCCAAACCAGCACAATATTTTGAAAATTTGGATTAAAATCTTTAACTCCCAAGATTGGTCATAGATGTCGTGGAGGTGGAATTAATCAAATCCAGATGTATGGTATAACACTGTGTGCATTAACAATAGCAACATACACATAATCCCCATCTACTGCCACATTGTCTGCAGGTGAGTAATCATGTTATGTTCCTTAAAAACATTTTGATTCAGTATATGTGGCCTATTTCCCCCCACTGTCACCCAGTGTTTGACCTGTATCAGGTTAGACATTAGTTCTAGGGAAGACAGAGAGAAAATAGAAAGAAATGCTATAAGAAGACTCACAAGACAGGATGTGTTACAGCAGGGTCCATCACTACAGTGAGCTCCATTAGAGAGAGAGCACTTTTTACAGCAGTTTTCATAGCATTCCTAAAGAAAATACATTAAGTGATCTATGAATCTTCCACTCTGGGCATTTTGTCCTTCTCAACCATCCAAACACACCATCCTGTATACCATGATCAGGGAAAGGATTCACTCCTGTATTGATTAGAAAATAAACTAGATGAAAGAATCCTTTACACTATTTAAACATCAAACTAGCAGGGAGACCAGTGTAAAGAATTCTATAGCAGCAACCAAATCCTGGATTTGGGACTATTAAAAGAGACAGTGCATATCTTCTCAAACCTGTCTGAGGATGAGGTTCCACCATGGACTCCATGCCAATGTAAGCTATTGAGGCAGTTTGCACGCACTAAGGAAAACCCCTAAGAGAACTAACTATATATACAATTATTTACAAAAGAACTAAAGGAGCCTAAATAAAGATCTGCAGGTGCAGACTTGGACAAAGCTAAAGGCTCCCTGAATGCACTTTGGAGTGGAAGAGAAGGAACTGAGGCTGCACTACCTAATATAGTCTTAGGCACTGAACATTCAATACAGATAGAGGGTGCATGTGTGCAGCCCCAGATGACAAAGCTTTGGGAACATGTTCTGTTCCTGAAGCACTAAGAGAGAGAGTTCACTACAAGTGAGAATGAACAGAGACCTTGAAGTATAATTACCAAGCTCAAGTGGGAACCTTACCAACCCCTTTATTCTATGTCAGCTTGATCTTTATATAACTCCCTTCTTTCCCTCTCTTTCATAATTTCTCTGTCTCAGGGCCAGAGCCAAAATCCCTCCATATCTACGTCCATACCCAGAACAAGGTGAGATAAGAGGCAAGGAGGAGGAGTTCTCTCTTCTGTCTGAAGCTGCATGCCACTCTGCCCTGCTCTAGCTTATTGCTCCTCTTTCCTTGCGCACTTATACATGGTGTAATGTTGTTTTACCCAGGCCCCATCATCATGGTCCCCGCTGCTCACAGGGTTCAGCCAGTTCCACATTACCTTTAAGAGGCACTTTCCTGAGGCAAGTGTGGGGTGGAGTGGGATGGGAAAATAGGAAAGGCAACAGGTTTTTTCTGTATTTGTAAGACTGAGCATAACACAGTGTAGCAGAAACAAATATTTTCTCGTTAGGGAACATATTCTTCCTCTTTTACAGAAAGTTGACTAATACAATTCTCTGATCAAAGTTGTCCCATAAGACAGGCAGCGTAAATTCAATACAAAATTCTTTCTTTTTCCATTTTTAACATCCATATAAAACTTTTGCTCAATACATTAATGTGAGAAGGGGCTGCAAGAACAGTGCATAAGAACATTTTAAAAAGAAAAGGAGTACTTATGGCACCTTAGAGACTAACCAATTTATTTGAGCATAAGCTTTCGTGAGGTGAGCTGTAGCTTACGAAAGCTTATGCTCAAATAAATTGGTTAGTCTCTAAGGTGCCACAAGTACTCCTTTTCTTTTTGCAAATACAGACTAACACGGAACATTTTAAACTTACCATTCGGAAACCACAATCACATTCTTCTCCTGCTTCTACATATCCATTTCCACATTCGGGAGTTTCAAACAACTGAGAGACACACAAAGAATAAAACCATTGTGAAAAATGATGGAAGCTAGCAACTGACTCAACTATGTCTTTAAGGAACAAACCCTCATCACAGTGCTTCTAAGACACCACTTCAGAGAGAGGACACCCAGAGCTACTCCTCAGGGAGTGCAAGTAGCAATGCAGCCCCTTGTGCAGCTAGCTGGCCAATTGTTCAGGAGCACAAGGTGTGTGGGCTACTTGTATCCTTTCCTGTGCTAATTGGGGAGCAGCTGTGAACAATCTGGCCTTGACCTGGCACTGACTTTTACTAAAAATAACCATGACAAAATGGGGAGAGAAAGAGTCCAGGGAAAGAGTCCTGCCCTGCTGTGGCTGGGAGCTAGAAGGGACCCCAGCCTGCGGTGGCTGTGGAGCTGCAGGAGATTCCCCACTGCACGGGCACTGGGGAGCTCTGGGGGATTCCCCTCCCCCAGGCTGGGGAGCTTCCAGGGATCTCCCGCCACCCGTGAGGACTGGGGAGCTCCGGGGGGTCCCCCCAACCCTGGAAGCTGGGAAGCTCTGGGGGTTCCCCCACTGCTGGTGGTGGTGGTGGCTGGGGAGCTGCCGGGGTCCCCCACCGGTGGTGGCTGGGAAGCTTCAGGGGTCCCTTGCCAGCAGCAGAGTCTGGGGAGCTTCTGAGTATCCCCCACCACCTGTGGGGACTGGGGAGCAAGGGGGACCCCCATGCCCATGGAGACTAGGGAGTTCCAAGACCCCTGCCACTCTGGGAGGTGTGGGTACCCTGCAGCTCCCAGCCGCTGTGGGCTGAAGTCACGGGGGTCTAGGGTGACCAGATCATAGAATCATAGAATATCAGGGTTGGAAGGGATCTCAGGAGGTCATCTAGTCCAACCCCCTGCTCAAAGCAGGACAAACCCCAACTAAATCATCCCAGCCAGGGCTTTGTCAAACCTGACCTTAAAAACTTCTAAGGAAGGAGATTCCACCACCTCCCTAGGTAACACATTCCAGTGTTTGACCACCCTCCTAGTGAAAAAGTTTTTCCTAATATCCAACCTAAACCTGCCCCACTGCAACTTGAGACCATTACTCCTCGTTCTGTCATCTGCTACCATTGAGAATAGTCTAGATCCATCCTCTTTGGAACCCCCTTTCAGGTAGTTGAAAGCAGCTATCAATTTTTTTCTTCCACAGACTAAACAATCCCAGTTCCCTCAGCCTCCCCTCATAAATCATGTGTTCAAGATGTCCCAATTTAATGGGACAGTCCCGATATTTGGAGCTTTTACTTATACAGGTGCCTATTACCCCCCACACTCAGTCCCTATTTTTCATACTTGCTATCTGGGCACCCTTCGGAGATCTGCGGAAGTCATGGAGTCCGTTACTTCCACAACCTCCATGACCAAATCTTATGATACTTATGATATTATGAAGTCACTGTGTGTTTAAGCCTTATGAGGATCTGTACTATGTCCTTGCCTCATCCTCCTTGTGTTAAAGAGAAAGGAATGGTACCTGCATGTCTGTCTCTTAACTAGGACAATTGTTATCAGCCCTTCAGTAGAGCTTGCCCAGATATAACTGTACCCTAGATAAGTTGGAGAAAACCGGTTTTCACTACAGAGTGCTGTGGTTTGGAGCAGTGGAATTTCTCCAGAATGGTAAACAAAGAAACCAGGTTCTAGTACTAGCATTTAATAACACAGAAACATAGGGCCTCACAGAAACTAAATATGCTTGGGGTAGGAAAGAAGAATAGAAGGTCATGATTTCACAGGAAAGGGGATCTCTTTGACTGTGGGACCAGCCCAGGCTGAAGGAAGCTGGCTACAGAGGCAGATGAGACTTTGTTTCGAAGGAGAACCCATGTTTATATAGGGGATCCTGGATACCTTAGAGTGGCGAGGAAACTGAGGCAAAGTTTCACATGCAGGTGTTTCTTATTTTGCCTAGATTCTGTCTCTCTTGTGCTGTTTAAGTAAAGACAAATTGTTTTTAGAAATCTTCTTTACAAAGTCTGTGTCTGTCTGCTTCAATTATCATATGTTCCTGAAGAGGTAAACTGTAACCAGAGTGCCCACAAGGCTGGCGGTCTTGGAAAAGGTGAGCATCTGCAAATGGGGAGTCTGGGGTAACCAACACTAGTCTCAGGGTGTAGGCAGTTGGACTGCAGGGTCTCAGCTTAGCCAGAAGGTGGTGCTAGATGGAAGATCTGCATCCTAAGAGTGCTCCTACAAATTCAGAACCATAGGCAGCGTCTGGACTCTTCTCAGCCTCAGGAAATCTTAAAAGCACAGATGTCCAGTGATGTGACCCAACACAGCAGCCTGGTGAGTGTCCAGAAGGGGAAGTTTGATCAGGGTTGTGACACACCTAGACAGTATATTTGCCAATGAAGATAAGCGTGGAAGATAGGGTTGCCAGGTGGTCCAGTTTCCAACCAGAATGCCTGGTCGAAAAGGGACCTTGGCAGCTCCAGTCAGGCAGTTAAAAGTCCAGTTGGCGCGGGGCTGGCAGGCTCCCTACCTGGCTCCGCATGGCTCCCAGGAAGTGACGACATGTCCCTCTGGATCCTAGGTGTAGGGGCTGACATGGGGGCTCTGCACGCTGCCCCGAGCGCTGGCTCCACAGCTCCCATTGGCCGTGGTTCTTGCCAATGGGAGCTGCGGGGGTGGTGCCTGCAGACTGAGGCAGCATGCAGAGCAGCATGGCTGCACCTCTGCCTAAGAGCTGAGAACCATGTTGCTGCTTGTGGGGAGCCACCTGTGGGGAGCATTGCCTGGAGCCTGCACCCCAAAACCCCTCCCACACCCCAATCCCCTGCCCCAGCCCTTAGCCCTCTTCTGCACCCAAACTCCCTCCCACAGCCTGCACCCTGAACCCCCTCTTGCACTTCAACCTCTTGCCCCAGCTCTGAACCCCCTTCCACAATTCGAACCCCTCAGACCCGGCCTGGAGCTCGATCCTGCATCCCAAACCCCTCATTAATAGCCCCACCCAGAGCCCACACCCTCAGCCGGAGCCCTCACCCCCCGCCCTGCACTCCAACCCCCTGCCCCAGCCTGGATCCCCCTCCCTCACCCTGAACCCCTCATTTCTGGCCCAACACCAGAGCCCACACCCCCAGTCCAGAGCCCATACTCCCTCCCACACCCCAACCACCTGCCTCACCCAGGAGCCCCCTCACCCCCTCCCGCACCCCAACCCCCTGCCCCAGCCCAAATGAGCGTGCACCAGAGGATGGGGGGGATAAAGTGAGCAGGGGCAGAGCCTCAGAGACAGGGCATGGCAGGACCTTGCAGGAGGGGCAGGCAAGGGTGGCAGGGCAAGTGTGTTTGGTTTTGTGCAATTAGAAAGTTGGCAACCCTAGTGGAAGATAGGGTCTATTACAGTTTATTGATTTTACTCATGAATAGGAAAATAGCAATCAAGGAACATCCCACAAGCAAAGGAAGTTCTGTGTGTGTTATTCAGCAGTTAACATATGATGAGACAAATCAATATGAATAAATATTGCAAAATAGCTATTCCCAGGATCCAAAGAAATAGTAATCTACACTGGCTATTTACTCTTCATTCTGCAAACAGAATAAGTCCCATGATTAAAAAAACAATAGATAAATCAGCTCTTCGGTAATTATGGAAGTTATATTTTGTTTTCTGTTTCAATGGTAAGCAACAGCAGATATCTGAGCCTGGGTTTTAATAATGTGCCCATCATACCAAATTAAAACACCACTCAGCCTCCCCTAACTGAGGATACTAGTATCCTGAGGATGGTCTTAGATTCCAATCTCCTGAGGGGCAGTATATCCCACGACCCACCACAGTGGTCATTAACAGTTTTGATTTTCATTGTGTAACTTATTTGTAAACTATTATATTTAATTGCCGCATTTGTCAGTTCCTAATTTTTCCCCATTTCCATCTCTTAACCCCCCCCTTGCTGTTACATCTATTGCAACACCCACTGGTAGATGCAAGACAACAACACATCTGCAGGTTTCCTTACTGCTGAGTTTTACAAATGTCAGTGATTCAGGAGTCATATAAATCAACTTAATCATTCAGGGTCACTTTAAAATTCCTCTTGTCCAATTTTTCATTTCTCAATGATTTTTTGTTGACCTCTAGAATATATCTCCATCCTTTGAGTGCAGTAAAGTCACTTCATTAAACCTGTACAAGACACAAATTGCTCCGCTAGCTCTCAAAACATAGTCATTTTTTTTAGCAGAAGCTATGATGATTTTTACAGCTCTGCCATTTTACAAAGTAATTATTTTTCAAAAGCATTTCCTACTTTTGACATTTTGTAATAGTTATATTATAAAAACCATAACAATAACAAGAGATTTGACGTTAACAGGGATATATCAATCACGAGAATGCTACTCAATGTCCGAGGTACATCCAGGTACCTGTATGCCTGTTGTTTTGCTAAATGTAACAAACATAATATGACATTTCACTGAACTCTTCTTCGGATACGTTTTTGGGGAAAAAGAGATGGACAATTTTAAAATATTGCTCTGATGAAAGATTCAAACACATTTTTCTCTTTTACAGAAACTATTTAGCTAATTGAAAGGGGCTATAGTTTCCAGCATTAGAGGCTGAATGAACACTGAACTGCCTTACACACAGTCCTTCACTAATAAAATGTAAGCATGATTTAGAATAACTATTCTTCTCTGTAAAAATATGAAAATTAAAAGATCACTTTTCCCCCTACAAGTCATCAGTATTGCTGTACTGGCTGCAAGATCTTCTGCTCTTGCTCTGAACCTGAAAATCAGTTTTCCATTATACAATCATCTCCACAAATGTGCTTCAGCCATTCTCCAGGGAACATTTTCACTGGAGTAAGAGGGATTTTGGTCTCCATCATCAGTCAACTGAAGATTTACTCATGTTCATCCATTAGTCAACCATAATCTTACTATGATCACAATCACCATGACGTGCTTTTTTTTTTTTTTTGTCTCCATATTCATTCAATTTTACAGTCATCTATATGTGAAGGCTGCTAAAGATGTAAAATATAAAGGTTTTGGGTTTTGTTTTGTTTTCTGTAACTTGGGAAAAGCAAATGTCTATGCAACAATAAAATCAAATCTTTTCAATTAATGGAGATCAGGGAGAAGTATACACAATGAGATAGATAGCATTTAGTCTCATTTGGGATTAAAATCGCCAAGGCTGACAACTTGGTAAAATGCCAGACTACAGTCTCAATTAGTTTTACAAAGGAAATATGGATTGTTTTTACCCTACTTTGGGTTTAACAGGGTGGGAAACTACTGTTGTCTGTCAGAAAAAAATTGTTGCTTTGTTGAGTTGTAAAAGGGCAAAAGGAGACTGGATGGATAAGAAGATTGATAAAAGAAATGGAGGTTACTTACCTATACCTGGAACTTTGAAATGTGTGGTCCCTATCTGTATTCCACACATTGGTACACATGTGCTCCATGCACCCGAGACTGGAGATTTGTAGCAAGTAGTGTCTGTTGGTCTACGTAGGTGAAGTTGTTCTCCTCATGCTCCAAACCGAGGGCATAAAGGGCAGCGTGGAGCAATGCCGTCTCTTACCTGGAATCAGATGGGCTCCAACACAGAAGGAAGGAGGGGCGGGTAGTGGAATATAGAGAGGAACCACACATCTCCAAGAACCTCCAGTTTCAGGTAAGTAACCTCCATTTCTTCGAGTGCTGATCCCTATGCATATTCCACATGTGGGAGATTGGTAAGCAGTATTCAGACAGGCAGAAGGTGCGAGAATGCAGTTGGTATAGATGTCTGTAATGCTGCTGTCTCCAAAGCTGCACCTGCTGAAGTGATCTAGACTAGGGCACATGTTTCATTAAAGGTGTGGATAGGGCTCCAAGCAGACGCCTTACAAACATTCAGTATTAATACTTCTCAAAGAGATATCATTGTGGTTGTTCATGCTCTCTTGTAGAATGGGCCCTCAACCTGTCCAGGAGAGGAATACGTGCCAACAATAGAATGATGTTTCCACAGATCCACTTACAGAATCTCTGGACTGATAACGCTTGTCCTCCTGGTCGCTCTGCTATTGCAACAAACAGTTTTGGTGTTTTTCTAATTGGTTTAATTCTTTGCTGATTCTTTATTGTTTATAAAAGACGCTGGTCGTGTCTTTGAACCCTCTACGTGGTGGTTTGTAAGGGCGGTGGTCTCAGCCTTTTTGTGGTGTTTTCTCTTCGGGGTTGGGGTGTAAATACCCAGGGAGCAGAGAATCATCCTAGAGCCCTTAAGCGAGTGTAATGACATGTCAGGCTCCTCACTGAAGAGATTAAACTCAAAGGGCAAGTCCTTGATGGCAGCTGTTCTCAACTGGGATCTGCCAGCCGGTTTAAGGGGGCTGTGAGGCCCTTGCCGGGGCTGAAACTGGGAGCGGAGCCGCAGGGCAGAAGCTCGGTGCCCTGGCACTCCCAGCAGAGCTGAAGTTAGGTGCCCCAAAGCCTTGGCACCCTTGTGGGACTGAAGCTCAGCACCCTGAGCACTCACAGGTCTGACACAGGGAGCAGTCCACACTGCCCTTTCTGCCCTCGGTTTGAAGCACGAGGAGAGCAACTGCAAATGGACACCATTTGCTACAAATCTCCAGTCTCAGACACATGGAGTGCATGCATATACTCACGTGTGGAATAAACAGAAGGACCAGCATTCGAAGAAGACTACACAACTTTATAACTCTATGTTGCCATTTCAAACCCAATCTACGTTGGTAGCGACCAAAAGTTGTTAATGGCCTATGTGACGCAAGTTATTGATTTCTGTCCAGTTCGTAATGCAATAATGGGCACCCTTCCCAACAGCAAAAGGCACAGAGGATTGACTGGACATGGAGCACTAACTACCCGTGTGTCTACACCTGGGTTTGTTTTACACGACTTTTGGCTTAAAAGGTTAGCGCACTACTGTTGAATGAGGCTCCAAATGGACACAACTATCTACTTATGAGGATTACATTAGGGCCTAAATTATTATCTGAGCATGAAGAATTCACTGAAGACAAGTTTTAAATTTCCCTAAAAAATGTTTATCTATCTTTTTGTAACTGTTGTTCTTCAAGATGTGTTGCTCATGTCCGTTCCATTCTAGGTGTGTGCGTGCCTGTGTGCACAGTCATCAGAGATTTTTGCCTTAGCAGTAACCGTAGGGTCGGCTGTAGTGCCCTCCTGAGTGCCACGCTCATGCATGGGTATATTAGGCACTGCCGACCCTACACCCTCTCAGTTCCTTCTTGCCGGCAACTCCGACAGAGGGGTAGGAGAGTGGGTAATGGAATGGACATGAGCAACACATCTCGAAGAACAGTTACGAAAAGGTAGGTAACCGTTTTTTCTTCGAGTGCTTGCTCATGTCGATTCCATTCTAGGTGACTCACAAGCAGTATGCTCGTAGGTGAGCTCAGGGTTCACAGCTTAGCGACTTGCACTACTGCTCTACCGAAGCCAGCATCATTGCAGGTCTGCTGGATAAGTATGTAATGGGACGTGAACATGGGGATAGATGACCAGGTGACCGCCCTACAGATGTCCCAGGTAGGCATGTGGGCTAGGAAAGCTGCCAAGGAATCTTGCACCCTGGTTGAATGGGAGGTTACTATCGCTGGAGGTGGCACCTTTGCCTGATCGCAACAGCAGCATATGCAGGCAGTGATCCAAGAAGAAATTCTTTGAGCAGACACTGGACAACCTTTCATCCTGTCGGCCACCATGACAAACAATTGCATCAACTTGCGGAATGGCTTGGTCCTTTCAATGTAGGAGGCTAGCATCCTCCTGACGTCTGGGAAATGCAATCTATGTTCCTCCACTGACTTATGTGGCTTGGGAAAAAAGGCAGGTAAGTAAATGTCCTGGCCCATATGAAACTGTGAGATCATCTGGGGCAGGAACCTGGGTATGGCCGCAGCTGTTCCTTGTCTTTATAGAAGACCATATAGGGCGGTTCCAAGGTAAGTGCCCTAATCTCGGAGACCCAGCAGGCGGATGTTATCGCAACTAGGAACACGACCTTCCAGAACAGGAGAAGGAAAGAGCAGGAATCCAGAGACTTAAGGGGGGTCCCGTGAGCTGTGACAGCACAAGATTCAGGTCCCATGGCAGAACAGGGACCCTGACATGCAGTTAGAGGCACTTGAGGAACCTGACAGTCATGTCTTGGGTAAAAACCGACCTACCCTCAAGCAGCAGACAGAAGACCGAAATAGTGGCCAAATGGACCTTGATAGATGAAAGGGACAGGCCTTGGTGCTTGAGATGCAGAAGGTAATCCAGGATCAACCACAGTGATCCAACCACAGTGATCCGCTCGTGCCAAATACTTTATCCTGAAGAGGGATGGGGAAGGGGGGGGACGGCCATGAACTGCAGGGTGTAGCCCGAAGATATTATGTCGAGTACCCAATGGTCTGAGGTCAGCTGCAATCAGGCCAACCAGAAGGGGCACAGGCAGTTGAGGAAAGAGCTGGGTGGTGGATCCTGGGAAGTGACTGGGGTGCTGTCCTCAGGTGAATCCTTAAAACACCCATTTCTAGTTTCCTTGGCCTCTGGAAGAATCAGGCTGGACAGAGGAATGGGAAGACAAAGGGTGACACCGTTTAAATTCTTTGTCTCTGTCCTTCTTCCTGTAGGAGCTGGACTGAGGGACACACCAGGACCTTGATGGAGGCGGAGGGGGACTGAACGGCTTTCTAGCCTGCAGAGTGGTGTGTAGGCCCACAGAATGGAGGGTGACATGGGAATCTTTAAGGCTGTGGAGCTGTGCATTGAAAAGAGCTCAGAAAAGAGCCTACTTGCTCTTTGGCCCCCAGGCTCACTTCGGGCACAGATGATCCTACTAGGGGCCGGGATCCTCTGCTGCTCCCAGGAGTCGGGTCCCTGGCTGAACTAAGGGTCCAACCGCAGCGGTACTGCCAAGAAGCTCTGGGGCAGGCACGTAGTCTGACACAGGTCCTTTGCCTGAAGCCCCCTTCTTCTGCGGTGCCTGGCAAACCCATAGACTTCAACTGCTTCTTAGGCGCTGGGGAGGGGGAACAATGCCAGGTGGATTCCGTTGCCGGTGGCGCTGACGCCAAGCATGGAGTCAGATCGAGAAGGCTCCAAGGGAAGACGAAGAGCAGCCTCCGTGAGGAGGGCCCTCAAACAGATATCCTGCTCCTTCTGAGTTTGAGGGCCAACATTTTGCAGATCCTGCACTTATCCTTTCTGTGGGACTCCCCCAAACTCTTTAAACAGCTTTCATGGGGGGGAGGGTGTCACTAATGGGCATCGGTCGGCTGCATAATGAACATGGCTTAAAGGCTGGGGAATGGGACATGCCCCGCTCTGAGGTGAAGTCCCAACCAGGGCTCTAACTCCTAAACTACTACTCTAACACTTAACATATAGGTCTAGCTAAGTACTGATCAACTAACAACAAAGGAGACAGAACAATGGACTGTAAGAACCACTAACGGTCTTGCAATGTAAGACAAGGCGCTCTGACTAACCATCACGGGCGGTAAGAAGGAACTGAGAGGGCATAGGGTCGGCAGCACCTAATATACCAACGCATGAACACGGCACTCAAGGGGGTGCTACAGCCGACCTTACGGATACCGCTAAGGCAAAAATCTCCGACGACTGTGCACGTGGGTGCTCATGCACCTAGAATGGAATCGACATGAGCAAGCACTCAAAGAAGAATAATCCTTATTAACTGAAATGACTGCTAATGAGGAAGAAGATCCATAAAGCTACAAGTAAAAACCAGAAAAATCTGTAATAGCCCAATGGAATTTGAATAAAGCTTTTGAGGGAAAAGAAGGTTCAATGAAACCATTTAATCTTCACTGCAGTGTCTGATAGTCAACGGATGTCCTGACAGTGGCTTCATCCTCTAAGTGAAATTACCTTTGTTGGCCTGTTGAAAAGACAGGCACCTCCCCCTCTGAGTAAAAATTCTTTGTATTCTGCAATGCTGCATCTTGAAAATTTTCTGGAGTGGTAAACCCTAAAATGACAAAGAATCAATTGAGTAAATACCTCACTGAACTCAGTTACTAGAGATGAAAATTATAACCCTCCTTTGAGCTGCTCTAATTTTTTTTTGCTACAAGAGAGATATACAACCGTCAGAGCAATGACAGCAGCTCAGCGGGAGTCCTTCATGTTTTGAAAAACAAAACAAAAAAAATCAAGCATTTTAACACTGTTTTGTATTTTTTTAAAATTACATTTCTCTCTTTACTATATGAATCCATAGCAAGGATGCAACAGCGTCTCTATAATCTTCTTAATAATTTAACATTCTCTATGCCAACTGAATAGTTACCATGTTCCTTCTCACTAAAAGAATCCAATGTGGTGGTACCATATATTTGGAGGCTGACTGATTTTTCACTTCAGCTCCTGGATGGATTGCATCCCAGATCTTTCTCATTTCTTGCTGATTGTTTAAGGTAGCCTTCTCTGTTGAAGATCAGTGACTCTGGATTAATTTTTAACACAAAAAGGTATCTCCACTGCAAAAAATTGGTGTTCCTTTTGTCCAACACACAACTCAAAGATCCGGGGGGAATCCTATTGGATATTTTTATGCTTCACTAAATAGGTGCTAGACAACTTCAAATCTGGGAGGAAGGATAGATGAGCCAGACAGCTCACATCAAAGTGACCAGTGGCTGAGTAGTCAAAGCTGAAGAAACTATGCTCACTCTGTAGTATAGTAGCTGTAGGATCTAGCATATACAAGGCATGCTTAGGCTGTGACAGAAGAGTCTACCAGGATCAAAGATGAGACCTTAGGCCCCAGTTTCACAAGCAGTTGATTAGAAAAGGAGAATTTAACAAAACCTGGCAGCTCCTGAGCTCCATTTTAGAAAAAAAGATTTAGGCAGGCCTGTTCCACGAAGGAGGAAACCCTGCTCATACCCAGATATGCTTCCCTCTCAGATTTTACTAACACTCACCAATCATTTAGCTAGAAATTGAAAAAAAACCACCCTCCATCTTGAGAGCAAAACCATAGGTATCTGGTGCTGTTGCCACTATAAAAAAAAAAAAATAGAAGGTGGGATCTGGTGCCAGTGCTGACTCAAAATGAAAAAAACAACAATACAATTTCAAGAGTCAATAACAATATTTAGAACACCCCCGGAACAAATGTGTGCAAAAATAATGTTTTGAGTTTGAAATCGTATGTTGTAAAGTGCATTTGAAGTGACAAACTAAAAATTAAAGAAGATTGTCCAGTTGAATTTATCTAAGATGTCTGTTACTTCAAGTGCTGGACTTCTACTGTTTGCTGCATGGATAACATGAGCCTCTGAGCTAAAAGAGAGGCCAAAGAAGACTGCACAGTTTAGGGTTCACTCTATTTAAAATAGTATGGTAAGACACAAAGTGATTATTCTTTTTTAGAAAAACCATCAAGACTTGGGTTGAAAAAGTTCCAATAAAATGTCCCAAGCCAACCCATAAACTTCAGGCATTATATTTCATTGTAGTCATTTACCACTGTATGCCATTTTTCAGAGATGTAGGTGTAAGCTGGTAACTTTCTTCACCAGTCTGGGGAATTATCAGCCATGCCCAAATCAGTATTTTGCCCTTACATCCTGGTTTCATTTATTATCCAACCAACAAACTAACCTTCCAGCTGGGGCTTTCTACCCAGCCACAACTCCCAGGACTTCCCATCTACATCTAGAGTCTCCCTTCCCCAGCAACTACTGGGTGAGCCTGCAGCTTCTCTCTGTAGTTAGCCCCTTTCTCAATCAACCCCCAGTTTCCTGCAGCTCTTTATAGGGAACTCCTGTTCCATTTTCAGCTGCATCTGATGAGTGAACAGGGATGATTGGCCGCTGGCCCTTAAAAGGAAAGACCACCCTATTATAGTACAGATATTAGCATCCTGGCAAAACTCCAGTTTGGATTATACATTCTGCTTACCTAAATTTCCACTGCAGTTTCAATTGGAAAAGTTATTTTCTTACTACTTATCCTAAACTATTGTGTAGTATTATTGTGTTTTGTTAAATACCTATTTTGTTCCATTCCAAAAGTGACTGCACTTCAGTAGTGGGTACAGTGGTCCCTATATACAATTTTAAACATTTACAAAAATGTTGGCATCCTTTTGGTATGGAAGAGATATATGAAGATAATTTTAACTACTGTCTGGAAAACTAAGAATAAAAAACTGGACATACCAAAACAGTCAGTACAAATTCTCAGATTTTTTCTCTTCAGAAAGTTTGGGTTGAAGTAGCTCAGCTATGAAATCTGGTTTTGCAACATTCAGTCTTTGTTCCCTTCCATTTTGTCATTCTACACAGCAGGCATTAGTGCTGCCTGTTCTCTCAGAACTAGTGATTTGGTATCTCTTCTCTTATAGAGACACTGAGCAAGGGGAGGCAGAAAGCCCTATGAGCTCCCCCATGAACTCCACTCTAAAAATATAAACTAGAATCAAAACATCCCATGTTACGAGTCAATGTTATGTTCCTTAATTTCTGTATGTTTGAGTTGTTCAGCACAAATGTTTGTCCCCACTGCTAATGTACTAGCTTTTCATCTAGTGCTGAAACAGATTTATGATGCTCACAAATAAATACTTATGTCACACTGTGCACTCTGATCTCATCTCCAAAGCCCTCAGTTACTGATTTTACAGCATACCCTGTTTCCTCCATGATGCAGCCACCCCAGGATTCTATGCAGTCACATTCTTCTCAGACAAAACCAAACATACAAAAGAAAGAAGGAAATTTGTTATAAATATACTGGCAGCAAAAATAAAACTTTATATATAAAGAAGGTTTTAATTACTATATATTGCGGTCAGATGGCTGTTTATCATAACAGAATGTAGCCTTAAAACTGGAATGTTCTTGTGCATATGACAGATAGATTTTTGTTCCATCTGCTTTGAATTATTAACAACAACATCCCAATCTATCAATCAACTTATGTTCTTTGCATATAGAGCAGAAAGTGGTTGAATGAAAGGGGTTTATACTAGCTACATCATCTAAGTCAACAATAACTTATTTGTTAATTAAAAATACAGGAGTAATGTTAATCAAAGTAAAAATGTCTTACAATCTGTAAAACAAGAATTATATAGTGCGGACAAGAATCTGTTAAAAAAATACTCTATTCTGGATACCTCTGCAAACATTCAGTATTTCTGAACACAGAATAACCACGTCATTTGGTAGAATTTGCTTCTTTTCTAGCCATGTTATTTATACCTTGATCACATTTCCATTGTTAGGCTATTACATCTGCTTGCTGGGTAATGCTACTAATGCTTGTACTTCTACCACCACTTTCAAAAATGACGTTGAGACTCAATTTACTTGTTACTCTCTGCAAGACATACCTAAAACAAGGATACAATTTCTTGATTTTTCCTTTAAAAAAAAAAAAGAGTATTAACCCAGCCCAACAATGAGAGGAAAGGTGCTCCTGACTAGATTCTACTGCTTTTTGAAGGATTTGATGACATCTCCAGTACACAACATATATCAACAGTTATCACACAACAGTACTGGAGATAGAATAGGAAATAACTGTGCTAAGTAAAAGGAAATAATGCTGTATCTCAGATACATGGTATGGTAACTGCTAATTAATCGTGACCACATAATAGTGAAAGGAATACTACTTTGACAAATATTTTGTCTTGGATTAGAAAAACTTGGACAAGCATGTCTGACATATTCAAAATTGGGGCCTCATCCTGGACTCCTTGGGTCAAATTCAGAAGTGATACTTAAGGTGATGAAAGTTAGATACTCAGAGCCAAATCCAAAGCCCGCTGAAGCCAATGGAAAAAACTCCAAATGGAAGTCAACGGGCTTTGGATCAGGCTCCCCAGAAGTACTTACACCCACTCTACTCATGTGCTGTAGTGTTTAAGCTGGGCTAATTCACCTGCCATGGAGCAGAAGATGTAAAAAAAGATGTGAGTTAAACTACCATCGTCCAACATTAATTTATATTTTCTTGCACTTCTTGGAGTTTAAGTTAGACTCCTTTGCACATAGATTCCATGTGACTTAATTACATCTATTCTACTTAAGTTATAGGTAAGGGAGTCTGAGTGCAAGGGGAGCGGAGGTCTAAGTTAGCATAACAGTTCTAAGTTACACCACTGTACACATCAATTATGAATCTGATCCTTTCACTCAGACAAAAGTGTCACTGAAGTCAGAGACTGATGACTGTAAAATGAGTGCACAACCGGGTCGTGGTTTATTTGGCCTTGATTTGGCTAAAATCAAGTTTTGGTTCTTATTGTAATTCTCCAGCGTATAACAAAATCAATGGCTGTATGTTATTTACAGTTGTGTCGATGTACATTTGTATGTAACCATACCCTTTACAAAAAGCTTGTATGTTCAGCAAAAGAGGAGGATAGAAGAAAGTCAGTGCACAATGACAGTACATACTCGGTTTTCTGGTTGCTGGCTCCCACTGTATTCCCAGGTTCTGAGCCAAACTTTGTGATAATTCCTGTGCCATAGCCAATGGGAGGGCATACTGTTTTTAGAGGGGAGTATAACAGTAAAGATAGTACACCGTTAGTTACTACAAATTATACTGCAACACTTCATTCTGGTTTACTACTAATTCAGTATCATATATAGAAATTTTATCAAACCCATGTGTGACTGCATGCACACACCAAAGAAACAAAGACCAGAGGAGCTGGTACCTGCCTTTACCAAGCAGTCAGTCTGGTCCACTCAGTACCTTTCACAATGAAAATACAAATTTTTCAAAGTAAACTAATTAGCGTGATACACATATTGGGCCAAATTCTCCTCCCAGTTACGCTGGTGGAACCCACTGGCTAACTAAGAGAAAAATTTAGCGCAGTATGTAGAAAGCAAAGGTTTTGGGCAGTATAGCTAGATCCATGTAATTACAATGGATTTTCAACAGTGTTGTTGCATTTTTGGTGGTATAGTCAGAGGCTAAAACAAAGTGCCAAATATAAGGAATGGTGAATTCATAAAGAGGAAATTGTACATTTAAAACATTTTAATAGAAAGGGTTACCTCATTCACTCCAACTCCTCTGGTCACGGAACAAACCCCTCCAAAGTAACTCAAGCTACTTCTCTTGTAGTGGAATGTCACATTCCTTAAGAACATAAATAAATAAAATAAAATAAAAAAATTACCATATATACTCGTTCATTTGCCTATTCATTTATAAGCTGACCCCCCAAGATGGATAGGTAAAAATAATAAAAACTGTATCATCTTTTCATAAGCCGACCCTATATTTCAGAGGTTGGCAAACTTTGGCTAACGGCCTGTCAGGGGAAGCCACTGGCTGATCGGGACGTTTTGTTTACCTGGAGCGTTCACAGGCACGAAGCCCCTCAGCTCCTTGTGGCCACGGTTCGCCGTTCCCAGCCAATGGGAGCTGCAGGAAGTGGCGCGCCACTTCCCGCAGCTCCCATTGCCTGGGAACGGCAAACCGCGGCCACAGGGAGCTGAGGGGCTCCATGACTGCAGACACTCCAGGTAAACAAAACGACAATGTATTAGATATTCAATTCAATGATTTCACAGAGTTTAAAATCATCAAATTTTGGTGTAGACCCGTTTATAAGCTGACCCCCGCTCTTTGATGCCTCACTTTTTTACCAAAAATATTCGGCTTATGAACGAGCGTATACAGTAAATAAAATATACATAGGATGTTGAATGAGAAATTTCATGCAGTAAAGTTCAATAGGACACCCATTCAGTCATCTGAAAGATCAAATTCCCATATAACAATATATGTTGTGTGCATTAGTATTCATTTAATATCTATTCATTTAGAGACAAATTCTCAATGGTAACTGATTCACTTTTAAAATGGAACACATCAAAAGAGTGAACTAGATGAAACTTGCAACATGGAGACACTTATTCTGTAGATTTAGCCCCACCCTCAACCTGTAAACAAAAATCAGAAAGTGCAAATATATCAGATGTTCTTAAAAGAAAAACTAGATCTTGCTAATCCAAACAGGAATGTCAAATTTTGTAACATTAAACATCTTTGGATCTGATTAGTACTTGGACAGATGACCCTTTGAATATACTTGATTTTCCAGGTTTGCTGACTGTCTAACAACAACTACTTGTAATGGATTTTTTTGTAAATAAGTTTTATTTTGAATGATTTTATATACAGTACAGCACTTGATGCCTTGACTTGAATCATAATGCTAATGCTCTACAATACTATATTGGAGACCTGGGCATGATTCATTTTCCTGTTACCTTGCTCAATGACTTCAACAGTAAAAAAAAATCAAGCAGCCTACTGTCACACTGCCATGAGCTGGGATCTTATCAGAAGTCACAAGCTAAGGCCAACCCTTGTTGGTTCTTGGATAGATTTCCAAAGGAAAAATGAATCTGAAGAACACAGTATCTTCTGTGCACCAGACTGTAGCCATTATTTCATCTCCTATGGAATCTCATCCTTCAGTTCCAATTACACTGCTACCATCAGTTTTTCTATTATATTTCACATTTAATTGTCTTTTAAGGGATATTATATAAATACAGATTAATGTAATCTGAAAGTTCAATTGCACAAGTGTCAGTAAATTCAGATGAGTGTCTCATCACAGGACCCCTAACCCAACCCTCTTTTGTGTACATACTTTACAATTTCAAGTGTCTTTATTTCATGACCACACAGAATTAAGAGATACAATATATCAATTCAATAAGTGACAGTATAATATTTAGAAAGGATGCAATTTCTTTTATAAGTCCATGTAAATAACATTTTGTACAATTACAAATCTTACGAAATCATGCCATGAATATTCTGTTGTAATTCATAAATACAAGGAGGCAGAGTAATGGAAACTGTGAAACTCTAATAGCTCTGGCTTAATGTTCTATTAAGTTGTTTTTCATATTGCTGTAAATATCGTAAGTAGGGTTGTCAACCCTCCAGGATTGTTCTGGAGTCTCCAGGAATTAAAGATTAATCTTTAATTAAAGATTATGGTATGTGATGAAACCGTCAGGAATAGTCCAACCAAAATTGGCAACTCTCAAATCATTCTATAAGGAGGAGAAAAATCATTGAAGCAAAGGTGGGACATTGAACTACGATGATAAATATTACAAAAGTTAGTCTCTAAGGTGCCACAAGTACTCCTTTTCTTTTTGCGAATACAGACTAACACGGCTGTTATTCTGAAAAAAGTAATTCTATCTTTAAGATAAAATTCTTGAAACTGAGCTGCACAGCGTCTAATTATAAAAAATGCACACAAAAATGCTTCATAAATAGGAGATTGTTATGAATAATTACATCATAGATGAAAAACAAATTAGTGTCCACCTTGTTGCAGTGATTACAGTAAATCAACACAAAAAAAATGGAAATCATGGTATAGCACCATATTCCACAAGAAAGATTTTTTTCACATGAATAAAAAAGCCACAATCCTGTAGTCCTTGCACACACAACACTCCCATTAAGGGTGGCCAGATGCCCAGTTTTCGACTGAAAAGTCTGGTCGAAAAGGGGACACGAGTGTCCAGTCAGATCTACTGACTGGACACACAAAATCCAGTTACCACGGGTTGGGTAGGCATCAAGTCATCACCCACGCCAGCCCCTACTCAGCCAGGGCCGTCTCCTACCTGCGTCAGGCGGCTGCAGCTCCCGGCCCCGCAGGTTAGTCCCTCCTGACCTAGGCGGGAGGGGAAATGTAGCGAGTGATGGGGGGAGGAGGAAGAGGAGAGGATGGGGGCAGGGCCTCGAGGGGAAGGAAATGGCAGGGGCAGAGCCACGTGGGAAGAGGCAGGTCAGGGGAGGTTAAAGCACTCCTGCTGGACTGTCCATTTTTTAAATATTACCAAGTTGGCAACCCTAACTCCCATTTAAGTCAAGGAAGGTAGGATGTACAATAGTTGCAGAACTGGGCCCTAGTAGACTATGGAAACTATTCCTCCTTGGCACAAAAATGAAGTATACAAGAGTTGTGCCTAGAGAAAATCTTTAAAAGCCTTTGGTTATATCTATGCCCATACTTGCAACAAATGCAATGGTTCCTACAGTCAATGTAAAACTAAAAACACAGGGGTAAATCTACACACCGCCAACCAGATCAATTATCTTGACTGGATGCTAGGGAGATCAGTGAGTAAGGAGGAGGAATTCACACCATCCCTGCCCAGATTGTAGTGGCAGAAAAAGCCACTGGAAGCTACTGGCTGGAATAGCTTCTGCACCCCTAGCATTTGCCTTCAGCAGATGAGAATAAAATTGAGGATGTGCATACAGACAGATCCCCTACCCTGTCCCCTCCAGACTGTTGTACCAGAGAGCCCCTGCAGAACTGGGCTCTGAACTGCATAATGGATGTGCAACCCCATGAGCCCCCCCAAATCCTCCTCTTCCCCCCAGCTATGTGCAGCGAAAACATTGTAGTTTTCTAGCCAGAGGCCTCTCTGTGCCCACAGACATGCAGGTAGGATTTGCCCCAAAATGCATAGCTTCTCCGGCCAAATTCATTTCCGGTTTAAGCATGTGCACTCCATGAGTTTCCATGACCGATTTCAGTGCAGCCATAGGGATGAGTGAAATATTGTCACTGGAACATTCCTGTAGAGGGCACCCTCAGTTCTGCCCTCTCCTGCTACTCATTGGAAGGAGGATGGTACATTGCAGAGCTGGTTGATGGGTCAAACCTCCTCAAGGGCATGTTGGATCATATTAAAGAAGTTCTTTATTAAAATCACAAATGAGTTTGATTCCCCATAGTTTAAATTAAAGGGTATTACTAATTAAGAGGTCTCTTGGTTTTTGGTACTGTTTCTCTCCCTCTATGTGTGAAACGTGCAAGCTGCTAATTGCATTAGTACATTCTAAGACAGAGTCTGTTCTCAAAGCAATTCTTTGTAACAACAACTACTCACGCAGAGAGAGACTCAAAGCAATACTCTGTAACAGAAACAGCACCCAGAGACTCCCCGCCCTTTTGTTGTATTCATCTCGCTTTGTTAACAATTGTGATTAAAATAGAGATAGAGGATGTATGTGGATGAATACTTGGTGTGGATAACAACTGAATGATCAGGGAGGTGCCAGCCTAAGAATCCAGTGTCCATCGGCTGAAGAAGGCGTCAAGTGGAAATAACCAGAGGACCCCCAGAGGGCAAACTGGAATCCATCCAACAGCCTCAAGGATGGGAGAACCAAAGAACAAGATAACATCTGGCAGCACGGGGCCGTCAGGAATGTGCCATCTGCTGATTGATTCAGCAACAGCATGATAAAGCAATTCTCATAGACTGGCATAGGAAAAAATTCCTATAAAAATGGACTCTAGAAAGTGAGAACTTTGGGGTCTGATTCTGCAAACCAACTTCCAGGAGCATCAGATGAGCATCTGACAAGGCCCTGCTCCCTCCTCACGTCCAGGCCACCTGGCCAGTGGCTTGGCATGAGCAACTCTAAGGCTGGTAACTATGATAACAACCTTGCAGAACCTGTGTGTGTGTGTGTATGAATGAATGTGTGAATAAATATGGAATTGAATGGAATGTTATAGCTATAACTAACTGCTTACTATGATTCTTTCTGTATTCACAATAAATGTGACATTTTGCCTTTTCCCCTTTAATAAGATCCTGCTGGTTTTTATTTTATTGGTATAACAGGCACGGTAATAGCCATGTTTACTCAATCCTGTAGCTGCACTGAGTTCAGCCATAGGAGCATAGCAGCACCATCTTGGACCCTCAAGGGTGTCTTTGAGGTCTGCTGGCCCCACCATGGGAACCTCTATGTAAGATAATCTAATACACAATATAAAAACTATCGCATGGTCATCAATAGAAAAACATTCAGGAGACTAGTGGGCTATGTTCCCTGATAAATAAGCTGTATATACAAGTAGTTTTTTTTAAGATAGCAAACTATCAAATCAATCAAATCTACTCTAATCAAAGATCTAATCAGATTTCATGAAAGATATGGCTAGAGCACACTATGGTAAATGTTTGGGCTCTATTTACAAGTGAATAATAGTTCTACAGGCTTCAAAATTTCATAATACACATCGGTATGCCTGTAATATACCTTGCTGCACACTGTAGACAGGACTATTACTAGATTAAAATAACAGAAACTGGCAGCTATAGGCAAAGGTTGGTTGACGTGCAGACAGAGAATAAAAGAGAGAGGAAGGCTGGTAGACAAGTAGACATTCTACATGTGTAAAAACTAATGGATTAAACCATCATCTAATAGTACATACGAGAGGAGGTGTACAGCATCAGTATGCTGTTTGATATAGTACTGTCGATATTTGGAGAAGTCATGAAGCATCTGCAGAGGGTCAGGGCGAATGTTAATCCGATCCCTGTCTGTCCAGGTTTCCACAGCAACCAAAACCACCCTGGTGTTCAGCTGTTCCTTGTATATCTGGGGACAGAGACAGGACAGGCACAGGAGTAGAACACTGGGTCAGACATGCACAGTTAGCCAGTCAGAGTCAGCGGAAGGACAAGGAGGATAAAGAAAGAGGGAAACATGGGGAAATAGTTAGCTGATATGCCTAAAAATCTATAATCTGCTAATCTTATTTTATTAAATTTACTATTCTAGAGGACAAAATGCATTTTACAATTCCAATTTTGACCTCCTATTTTTCCCCTTTACTGTTTCTTATGTCTGATCATTTTAGTAACTGATCACTACTCAGGACTATCTACATTTCCCCATAGAAATTTCCTAAAGACACACTGATTGATTTCAATGACCAAAGAAGAGGTCACACCAATCCTCAATCAACTTGAAGGAAAGTAGCGCTGTTTTCTCCAAAACAGTTCTATCAAAAACTTTTTAATTCACATATATAGTTTGATTCTCATTTACACTAAGACCACTTCACTCCCACATTAATTCCTCTTTACACTGCAACAGTGGTATAAATACTGTTTGCACCAACTTTAAGGGCACCTTGTCCTGTCAAAGCAGGGTAAATGGGTATAAGTGTAAATGAGAATCAGGCCCTAAACATTTATTAACATAACTTTAAGATATAAGTAACCTTTGTTCACAAAGGTTTATTTTAGTGATAGAATAAATGTTCTATATAATTCAGAGTTTAAAGTACTATATTTTCTATAACATATTCAAGACTTGCAAGTTTGCAAAGGAGCTTATATTCCTCATTCACATTTGTTTGTCTGCAATTAGAAAACAGGGCCAAGGTGACACACGAAGAGGACTCACTACCCAGATAGAATCAGCAGTGTTTAAAGTGATTGATTTTTAATTCAAATAGCATACAAACAGTTACCAAAGAGCATCTCCAGGAGTCACCATATATTTTTACAAATACACTTTTTAATTTTTTTATCAAATTACACCTAGAATGTCCAATATAATGTATAACTATTCTGCCTACTGAGCTATGATGGGTGCATCCACTGAATAAATCAACAATTACATTAGCCCTTTTGTTGGAACATCAGCCCGTTTATGCCTAAAAGGAATCAGCAGGCAACACACAGGTTGGAAAACAGGCAGTGAGCACAAGGACAGGAGAGATCAACCAGACAAGTTTAATTTTTTCCAGAAAAGATTTTCAAGAAGGAATTGCATATCAAGAAAAGTCTTGTGATAATGTGTTCTTTCTAAAGGAGCCAAGTGAGTGTATATATGATCCATCGTTTGTGAGAGGGTGATTTATTGATTGCCAAAAGCAATATCGTGAAAATATGGAAATCCAATAAGGCCAGATGAATAAAATCTTAGCTGATGTTTGATTTCCTGAAGCAGACAGATATCGTGAGTAGGTGGAGAGGGGGCACGTAAGGACCTGATACTCTTGAAGTGCCAGTAACCAGTACACTTCAGCAAGAAACACAGCCATGCCCCCTGGATCCATAGGGGAAATGCAAGGAGGAAACTTTCTGCTACATTTCAGGTTCCCTTTAAAATAAATGGAGACACCTCGGTACAGGCCCTTCATGAAAGGAAAAGTGGACAGAGCCTGAATGTTTATGCATCCAGCAGTTGGTGTACACTCTTGCTAAAACCCACTGTGCAAATTATTCCTGCACTGATCAGTGCTAATTTGTAAGGGTGGTATGGTGTGAATGGCCATTGGCAACCAGAACAGGGACACACAATAGCATCGTTTACTGCAGAATTGGTCAAAATACTTCTGAAGATACATTCACTGACTTCCCGGTCAAAATCATTATTCTGAAATTAACTACAAGCAAAAAGGGAGAAAACCAAGAGAACTAATAAAAACAGAAAGCAATGAGCGATCAAATGAGTTCTATCAAGCACAGTAAAAATACCAAGGAAAAACAATTTAAGAAAATATAGAGTCTGTGTCTTTTTAAAACTCATCCAACTGAAAATTTATTATAGTACAATATATTTTACAGACAGATTAAGCTAGTCATACCCTGCTTGCTCAATCAAAGTCCATATTGAGGTGGCAGGGGTGTTTTGGAAGGGTTCTTCATCAGCAGGAGTTCCCAGAGGCATTCTAGCTGATTTAGCTAGAATTCCTATGAAAGCTTGGGGGAGTCAATGCCAGTGCAAGGGCTGTAGCAACCTTTAGCGTGATGCAGAATGAGCTTTCCCTATGTCATCTTAATTCTACTGCCCAGTGTGGAAGAGGATCGAGGAACGCTGGTCCTAATTATCCCTGCGTTTGGGGAGTCTAACAATGCCACTAGGTGCTTGACATCAGAGGATGACATTCATCTATGGTGCACAGGGCCAGCAAAAGTTCCTTCCTCCGTACCATTTAAGACCAGTATTAGGGTTTAGCGGAGGAGTCACAGAGCAAGTGGTTACACAAGGATGTCTATGCATGCCTGCATGCTGAAAAAAGAATTGTTGTACCATCCTATACAAGCCGGCACAAATGGCTCTCCTGAGGGTCAACTGGTGTCAGGCCAAAAAAGGGGTAGCTCTGTTGGCTCCAACATCCTTCATAAGTAACTCTCACATAGGCACAGAGCTAGCTACAATGTTAATTTGGAAGGAACTCTGAGATTTTCTTGGGTTGAACTGTATTTGCCTCTGTCCTTTGTTTTCCTATGTAGTCACTACTGTATATTTAATCTTTCTGTACCTGTTGTTTGGGGATGTGTAATATAATAATGCAGAAATAGTCCATATTTTCAAATGATTGCTCAGATAGGACTCTCTCTGCAACTATAGGCTGTTTCACATTATTATTGAAAAACACTCCAAGGCACTTCAATATTTTTATGCATTATATGTGTGTTCACTTAAAAACTACGCAATATACTTCATGACATTTTATGTACAATATATTAAACAAATAAAATCAAAGATTAGGTGGTATTTCCTCCACGCTATACAGGACTGAATTGCACCACACAATACCACTAAGTCTGACTCAGAGTCTTGCTACCAATTGTATACATAGCTTTATTCACCAACCTCAAAGAACTGAATTAACTGGTGGGAAAAATACAAGAGGAAATATAAAGTGCACAAAACAATCCTAACATATGTGCCACAAATATGATTCATCACATTTCTTTACTGTAAATAAATTATAGCTGAATGTGTTGGGATATATAGTATGTTTGGGGTGTGAATGTGGAATGAGTAAGGTTTGGTTTATAATCAATAAAGAGCATTTACATTATTATATACCAACACTGCATCTGGTATCTGCCTGCTCCCCATCCTGTAGGAAAACCTCTATTGCAGGTCTAACAAATGTACATGGATACAGGCTGCTAGTTCTAACAAATGTCTCAGTTAGCATAAAGAAAAAGTTGTGATACAAAGAATAGAAGCCTAACCAGCATTTTACATCTGGCCTGCTCATCAGCTGAAGTGGCTTTGAATAAGTTAAATAATTAAAAGGATGGGTGTAACAGGATTATAATGCATTTGTTGAAGATCAAAAAAGAGAGAGAAAGGAAATTCCACAATTTTAAATAATTATTTGAACACCTGGAAAAGAAGATTGGTATGTGTACACCTGAATAAGGAAGTGACAATGACCTCTATCAGTCATAGATTTTAAGGCCAGAGGGACCATCAGATTATCTAGTCTGACCTCCTGTATATTTTACACCACTAAACACCACCCAACTGCCCCTACACCAAGCCCCAAACTATTACAGCCCCCAGGAGACTAATCATTATATCTATAGCAAAGAAATTTCTCTCTCAGACCTTTGTGATGGAAAGATTTTTATACTCAAATAAATCAAGTTATGTCTTTGTTATCCCCTTTGGAGTGTAATATCATTTGTTAGCATTTTTTAAACACATATAAAATCGACTTTTTGCCTGTAATTCAGACAGCACATGTATGCTCTTCGAATTACATTAAATTCGTGAACATTGACACCTATAAGGACTCCATAGTCATCTGTCATTTAAGAATTTGGGGACAAATATCTACTAAGAATATATCTACATAGCATGCACTAGCTCTGCTCGAGCTAGTGCCTAAAAACAGCAGCGTGGACATGGCGGTACAGGAGGAGACTTGGGCTAACTGCCCAAGTATGTACCCAGAGCGTCAGGTTGGATTGTACTCAGGCAATTAGCCCAAGATGCCACCCATGTAGTCACAGTTACACTGCTAATTTTAGTGGGCTAGCTCGAGTGGAGCTAGTGCATGTAAGTCTACCTGAACCAGGAATTACACCTCTCAGCTGTTGTTCAGATGCATCCTAAGTAAGTTTAGATGTGTTAGATAGCACAGCAATGAGACTCTTCAACTAACCGTACTGCATAGTCAATGATACTAGAATGCACTAGCTTTGTTACATTCTCTAGTGCTGATGTGTAACAAATTCACCTTCTCACAGTTCTGGCATACATAACAACAAACTTACAATGGAGCTGAAATTGCAGTAGTTTTGCTGCATGTTTTCTGCATTAGCATTGTAACACTGCACCCCATATTCTTCATAGTTGTATGATTATGACATAATTATGATGCACTTTGTACAAGATGCGTCATGTAAGGTCTCATTGGAAAAGTTCTGATTTGCTGAATATGATTATCCTATTTGCATTCATGTATCATTTTTATATCTGAAGTCATAAATATTGACTATGGATCTGTATTTCTAATGGGCTTACTCTGGAAAACACTCACAGCCAGCCTTTCAGGTACAACAATGAAGAAGCCAGACAGTGCTAATGGGTCATCAACAAAGACAATGGGCTATGGAATAGCTTAGCCTTCCTAAGAATGCTTCAGACAGCCTGTAAGAAATGGCTGCTATGACTCTGCAAGTCATCACTTCACTGATGAAGTGAGCTGTAGCTCACGAAAGCTCATGCTCAAATAAATTGGTTAGTCTCTAAGGTGCCACAAGTACTCCTTTTCTTTTTGCGAATACAGACTAACACGGCTGTTACTCTGAAATCTGCAAGGGATGTAACCAGACCACATGACTCTGGACTCCTGTATTTTTCCACAAACTGGTCTGAGAAACAAGTTTGAAACAAAAGGTTCCTGCCATTTGAAAAAGCTATATAAGGCAGGGAGTGAAATCATTGGTTGTTCTTCACTCCCCCACAACTGAACACCTAAGCGAAGCTCCCAAAGAAAAGGACTTGGAACGGGGGTGGGGATCCCAAGCTGCAAAGCAAGTGCAGCTTGTGCCTTGAGAATCTGCAAGCCTGCTTGTATCATCAGTCAGGGTGAAAGACTGTTAATTCAAATCCTACCCTTTTAGTATGTTAGCTTAGTTTGCGTTTTTGTTTATTTACTAGGTAATCTGTTTTGATATAGCTCAGTGGTTTGAGCATTGGCCTGCTAAACCCAGGATTGTGAGTTCAATCCTTGACGGGTCCATTTAGGGATTGGGGGCAAAAATTGAGGATTGGTTCTGCTTTGAGCAGGGGGTTGGACAAGATGATCTCCTGAGGTCCCTTCCAACCCTGATATTCTATGATGGCATCTATGATCTTTTACCTATCACTCATATAATCACTTTAAATCGATCTTTTGTAGTTAATAAACTTGTTTTATGCTTTATCTAAACCAGTATGGTTGGAGTGAAGCGCTTGGGAATCTTAGCTCCAGGGGCAGGGGCTGTTGCGTTTCCTCTCCACATTGAGGGAGGGGCGAAATTTATGAGCTTACTTTGTCCAAATCTCTGTGCAGTGTAAGACGGTACAATGTTGTATTTATACTCTGGGGAGTGGGAGTGGAGCATGTGTGCCTCGGGAGCTGGGAAATTGGCTGTTGTGTGCTGGCTGCACTCAGGTTTGTGTGAGTGGCGCCACCCGCTGTTGTGTTGGGTGATAACAGGGCCTGGGTGAGGCTGGCTGTGTCCCCAAAGCATTGTGAGCAAGGCCAGTCCAGCTGTGTGTCTTAGAGGGGCACAACGGGCTCTCACACCCCAAAGGTGACAACCCATCACAAGCATCTCAAGCCTACTGACACAGTGGTTAAGTAATTCTCTCAGAATTAAAAAAAGATGCAAATATTTAATGTCAGAAAATGGCTCCTAAACAGCATCTTCTACTAGTTGTGTGTTGAAGTCCCCTGTATCGAGTATTAGCTTAATCAAATTCAAAAGACTATTTGGGAGAAATCCTGGGGTCAATGGAAGCTCCATAACACAGCAGCATCAGTATGGTACTACTGTGGGCAGTGCTGGGATAAAGCACTGATGCATTAATGTAGTAATAGTTCCACAGACCCCTTCGTATTGCAGAATTCAGCTCTGCAGTCACCTACTCTGCGGGAGCGTCTGGTGGGTCAACAAATTGTACAGTTGCTTTTTAAGTCTGTAATGGGTAGGGCTCTGTGTCTGTCACAGAAGCCATGGATTCCATGACTTCCCACGAGCTCCACGACTTATGCAGCGGCCAGCTGCTCAGGTGGCCCCAAGGACAGAAACACCATCCGTTGCTGGAGCAGCCCTGGGACCAGCCGCACTGGCCACTGCTTGGGTGGCCCTGGGCCATTGGACCACCTGAGCAGCAGTCAAAGGGGCAGCTGGAGCAGCCGCTGCTCGGCAGCCCCTGGCAGCAGTCCCGTGGCTACTCCCAGCAGCTGGTGCCACTGCCCTCCCCCAAGCAGTGGCCCCCGTCCCCTCCCCAACAGTGGTCCTGGGGGCAGCCAGAGCAGCTGCTGCTCGGAAGCCCCTGGCACCTGGTGCCACTGGCCCTTTCCCCCCCGAGCAGTGGCTCCTCAGCCCCTCCAGCAGTGTTCCCACTCCCAAGATTTAGTCAGGGGTATTTATAGTATAAGTCGTGGACAGGACACGGCCATGAATTTTTCTTTATTGCCCCTGACCAGTCCATGACTTTTCCTAAAATACCCATGACTAAATCGTAGCCTTAGTAATGGCTACTATGCCTGCTAATGTCCTGCAGGAGCAGTCCTGTTGCACTTCCACACTGGCTACTGCAAGATGGGTCTGATGATTCTCAGCCCTTCCCCTGTGTGTTGGAGCAGACAGTCTTATTAAGTCTGGATGTGCTTCCTTTTCCTGAATTTACTGACAAGATACAAAAAGTCATGTTGATTCAGAACTGATAGCTGAAACTGGATTAGTTTCAGAGTACTTTCATGGTTCCTACTGGTTTCCATTACAGGCAAATACAAAGGCAAAACGTGGCCAAATATATCTAAATATGAGCTTTTAAGGGAAAAACACTGATACTATTCAGACATGTGAGAATGTTTTCCTTTAAGAAGGTGTCAAATCAACACACAGAGATCTATTCTTCCTTCAGTATGCCACATAACCCCAAAACTGTGCGAGGTAGCTATATGTATAACTGGGAGAGATAGAGAGCATATATTTTATCTCCAGTTTTGTTTTCAGTTTATAGAATATGTTTCATACAAAACTAGTTCATTTCTTATCACATGTATATGTACTAGGCACGTGAATTCTGTTAAATGCTCTCCATCCCTCTCACTTATAAAGATGTTCCTTCACAAGAGGCTTTTTATATCACTGAAATGAAAATGCTTATTCACACTCTTCTGTTATACCCCCATCAGATATTTGTATTTTCCATGAGCTGTGCTCACAGCATTGCCTACTTGTGGCAGGTAGAAGCACTGCAGACTTTTATACACAGTATTAGACAGAGATAGATTATCTATCTATATATCTCAAAGCTTGATTAAATCTAACTATTCAACAGTGACTCGTGGAAAGCTCCTTCACAGCTCTGAGTTCCCCCAGAGCGCAAATTTGTGGCAGCTGCAAGCTTTGAGAAAATACCAAGAATAAATCTGTGTTTTTTTATGGATAGAAACCTTTCTACATAGCAGCCCAAGTCAGTCCTCTGCAGTGAAACTTTAAAATTATTTTTCAACCATTTAACAAGTGCTGATTGCATTTATTTTCATCCTAATGTCTGTAAAGCCAGCTTTCCATATAATGACTTAAATAATCAACTCAGTGATATAGTTTTCAGGAACCATAATGATACTTACAGCATCTACAAGGTTTACCACAGATTTTGCAAAGTTGTTTGTGTACGCATGGGAAGAACGATGTTTTTTGAACTAAAAGAAAAAATTTAAAAGAAATTAGATTTGTTTCAGGAAATATGGAAAACGAATAATCTTAATACATGCTAAGGGAGAAATCACAAAAAAATGGTCTTTTCAGATCACAGCATGCCTCCTGAAGTCTATGGTTCTGTGAAATTAAATGAAAGCCTGTGCCAGGCTCAATAACATTTAACATGTACACATACAAAACATTTTAGTAAAAACTGTTCAGCCATGAAACAGGCTCTTAAAACTTTTTAAGAGTTTAAATAGTCAAATTTTTAAAAAGACATAATTGGGGCTAACGTGAGTTTTTCTCTAGAGCTCAAACTTATAAATGAGAGCTCAGAACTGTACCCTAATTGTCATGTTTAAACCTGACCATTTAAATACCATTCACCACTGACAGTGCACCACAACCTGAACTCTGACACCAAGAAGATGCCACCCTCTAATTGTCATTCTACATACAACTCTTTACCAACTTATCCTTTCACAATATAACCTACTTACAGCACCAAAGATCCACAACTACTAGGGTCGGGTATGCGCAGAAGGGTGAAAACAGAGCAGAGTTAAGCTTGCAGTGCTTTATCTGGGTTAAGATAATGGTGAGTGAGTGTTTGAGGGTGGAGAAATAGAGAATATATATTGTTAGAGGGCTTAATTTTTCATTTTCTTTCTTTTTGTGGATATATGTTGCATGTGTAGCAGACAAATGTTTCTGAAGTTTTTTGTGTATTATAATAAATGTGCTTGTGACTTTCTGTATATTGGTCTATCAATCTCTTCTGCCAACAAGTCAAACTTGCCAAAGATGATTGAGACTCAACAAAATCGTGAAGTTACAATTGTATTTTACAATATGATCTGCAAAAAGGGAAATTTGCATCTTCAAAATGTTATGTACAATGAACTCAAAATCTGCACAAAACAAACCAGCTAAAACTTTTCCATGAAAAAGTTCTCACGAATTTCAGCTAATATTGCTTAATAGCAACAGGTCTTGCTACTAAAGAGTCATATTATGAGGTTCCCCAAAAGGTCTTATCTACGCCTCATTCTCAAGCATAGTAGACGATGTGAGACTGAGAGACAAGAGGGTTCGTATGCCAAACTCTAAGCAACTGAGTTAGTACTCACATGCTTAAAGCCAGGCTCATGCTTAAATACCATCCTGAATCAGGGGGAGTAAAACAAAGACTCCCTGGACTCTAACAGACATGCCAGGAGCCCCTTACAGAAGGAAATTTAAAAATTACAACTATTTAACAGTTTTATCTAAACAGCCAGTTACTTTACTTTTCAAACTAAGCATTATACAAATAATCTCTGAAAGCTGTTACACCACATTATATTGGTAAACTGTATACCAATTTTTCTTTTCATTCAGACCGATGCTATTTTTGCCTCACACAAGTCATTCAGTCAGTTACAGATGAAATGCATAGAGATGGTGCATTTCACCCTATCAGCTTTGATTCAAATAGCAGCTGCAGCCCATCCACTCCACTTGCGCAAGGTGATAAGCCATTTGATTTGTGTAATCACTGATCCCATGGCCCACTTCTGTGGCCTATTTGAACATCACCGTCCTCAGTGGCCTATGCACAGCCAGTGCTGGGATCCCCACTTCTCACACCACATAGGGTTGGCAGGGGACCCTACCTGTGCAATTGCTCTTTTAGCAAATCACCTCATGCAGCACCAAACACAGGGCTTAAATGGTATACACCAGCACCAATAAAGTAGGTTTTGAGGTTTTTCCTTAGGGAACCCTTTAGAACTAGCATATATTTTATCCTTAACAAGCTGAAAGAATTTGCTGGAAGTGAAAACAGTATTCTTGTGTTTCATTCTTCATTAAAATATTTGAATACAGAGAGCTATACTGACAGTACATTATAAAATACCAGAGAAGTTCCAGAAACAGAAACTAAGATGAATATAGTCTAAAAATAAGGAATGTAAATAATGTATTTACTTGGGTCTTCATTGTTATAATGAGTGAAAGTTTTAAGAAAATATGAAAAGTGAGTTAAAACATTAAACAATTATCAATACTTGATACATTTCAATGTCTGAAACACTGCGTAAGAAGAGGATTTTTACAAAGTAAAATCTTACTGCAGGAGAAATCTGCCCTCTACTGGTAAGCAAAACTCTTAAGTATATGCTTATAAGCTCTGGATTGTACAACCCTTACTCACACTGGTGAACACTTACAAGTAACCTAACTTGACTTCTTGTCAAAAATGGCATTACCCGTTTCTGAGTCACTGATGACTCAGAAGCAGATGATTTTGAATGCTTATGGATCAATGTTCTAACAAATAAAGCACAAGATGGGGTACTAGCTGGTGTCTGCTACAGTTCACCAAATCACACTAGAGAACTGTATGACTGGCTCCCTTAAGAATCTATCTATCTAAAATCTAATACTGTATATAAAAGTCTGCAGTGCTCCCTTAAGAATCTATCTAGAATCTATCTATAATGTGTAAGGAATAAAATGGAGGATTCAATCTGAGTGACATGTTCTGGACTTCTCATGCTGCCAATAGTAAAACGTTCTTGGAATTTTAAAATATTATAGATGACAATTTCCTAATTCAAAAAGTGTCACTTCTAATAAAATGAAATTATATATTAGACCTTATCTTGACAGATAAAGAGGAATTAATCACAGATCTAAAAAATTAGTAGCTGACTAGGTCCAAGTGCTCAAGGCTTGATTACATCTGTTATGTGCAAACAGAATACAGTCCAAACCAGTCATATGGATACTTGGTGCTTTAAAAGGGCCAGGTCTCTAAGCTGAAAACAATTATAGGCCAAATCAGCTGGAAGAAATAATTTAAAAAGAAAAATCTGAACAATAATTAGGAAATATATAAGAATATTTTACTGGATGCTCAAAAAAACCCACAATTCCACAATTGAGAAAGAAGGCTATACTGGTATTTAAAACACAAACAAACAAAAAACCTTGCTTAGCAATGAAGTGAAAGCAGCAGTCAAAAATAAAAAAAATACATAGAAATGGAAAAAATATTAATATAAATTAGAAACTAGAACTGTAGAAAATTGGTAAGAGAAGCAAAAGGACACAAGGAGAAATCTATGGCCAGCAGAGTTAAGGACAATAAGTTGTAGTTTATGCATATCTAGAACAAAAGGACTAGACAATGCAACTAGACAGATGCTGCAGAACTGTCAATAATAATGCAGAAAAGGCAGAAGTGTTTGATATATATTTTTGTTTGGCTTTTTTCAAAATACATATAATGTATTTTTATCTTATGATGATGAATACCTTCCATTTCAAGAGTGATTCAGGAGGATGCTAAAAAGCAACTACTAACCTTAAACAGTCTTAAAATTAGCAAGTCCAGATAATTTGCATCCAAGAGTTTTAAAAGAGCTGACTGAGGAGCTCTCTGGACCATTAATGTTGATTTTTAATAAGTCTTGGAACACTGTGGAAGTTCCAGGGGACTGAAAGAAAGCTAATTTTGTGCCAATATTTTAAAAGAGTAAATGGCACAACCCAGGTAATTACAAGCCTGTCAGACTGTCCTTGATCCTGGACAAAATAATGGAATAGCTAATATGCAGCTCAATAAATAAAGACTTAAAAGAGGGTAATATAAATAATGCCAGTCAAAATGGATTTAAGGAAAATAGATCCTGTCAAAACTAAGTTCTCTCTTTTTTTTTTTAAAGTAAGATTTCAACTTTGACTGATAAAGGTAATAGTGTTGAGGAAATATATTTATGATTCTGAAAGACATCTGACTTGGTACTACATGACATTTAGATTAAGAACCTAAAAAGATACTAAATTAACATGGCACACATTAAACATATTAAAAACTGGCTGATAGGTCTCAAAACATAATTGTAAACAGGGAATCAAGTACATGTGTTTCTAACTGGATCAGTTCTCGGCCCTGCGCTATTTAAAATTTTTATCAGCCACCTGGAAGAAAACAAAGCACTCCTGGTAAAGTTTGCAAATGACACAAATAATAGGGGAGTGGTAAATACTTAAGAGGATAGGTCACTAAAAAAGAGTGATCATAGAATCATAGAATATCAGGGTTGGAAGGGACCTCAGGAGGTCATCTAGTCCAACCCCCTGCTCAAAGCAGGACCCATACCCAATTAAATCATCCCAGCCAGGGCTTTGTCAAGCCTGACCTTAAAAACTTCTAAGGAAGGAGATTCTACCACTTCCCTAGGTAACGCATTCCAGTGTTTCACCACCCTCCTAGTGAAAAAGTTTTTCCTAATATCCAACCTAAACCTCCCCCACTGCAACTTGAGACCATTACTCCTTGTCCTGTCCTCTTCTACCACTGAGAATAGTCCAGAACCATCCTCTCTGGAACCACCTCTCAGGTAGTTGAAAGCAGCTATCAAATCCCCCCTCATTCTTCTCTTCTGCAGACTAGACAATCCCAGTTTCCTCAGCCTCTCCTCATAAGTCATGTGTTCCAGACCCCTAATCATTTTTGTTGCCCTTCACTGGACTCTCTCCAATTTATCCACATCCTTCTTGAAGTGTGGGGCCCAAAACTGGACACAGTACTCCAGATGAGGCCTCACCAATGTCGAATAGAGGGGGACGATCACGTCCCTCGATCTGCTCGCTATGCCCCTACTTATACATCCCAAAATGCCATTGGCCTTCTTGGCAACAAGGGCACACTGCTGACTCATATCCAGCTTCTCGTCCACTGTCACCCCTAGGTCCTTTTCCACAGAACTCCTGCCTAGCCATTCGGTCCCTAGTCTGTAGCTGTGCATTGGGTTCTTCCGTCCTAAGTGCAGGACCCTGCACTTATCCTTATTGAACCTCATCAGATTTCTTTTGGCCCAATCCTCCAATTTGTCTAGGTCCCTTTGTATCCTATCCCTGCCCTCCAGCGTATCTATCACTCCTCCCACTTTAGTATCATCCGCAAATTTGCTGAGAGTGCAATCCACACCATCCTCCAGATCATTTA